AAATATAATGCTTTAATGCTAATAAAATGTTTTTATAGCTTGCCATGACGCTATCATAAGTTTTATCAAGCTTTCATATTTAATAATAGCGAAGTTAGATATGAAAATCAGAATTAATAGTAATGTATCTTAATTCTACACAGCACCGATAGCAAACTATAGATTTCTCGTATATTTCAAAGCTGTAGTAGTAGCACTTGGCCCTGAAATGCTAGAAATTCGTAGTCTAGTAAGGCATAAGTACATTTTAAAATTATAAAATAATATAAATAGTTCTTCAAAACCGGCTTTACGAATTTGCTCGTTAGTAGATTGCCTATAGACTGTCATACAAAAACTTGTTCAGAGATGTGAATTACTAGAAGCTGCAATATGTCCTTTTCCAATTCAAGATCAAGCTTACTATAATTTTAACCTCTCATCTATTAAATAGAAGTATAAAATCGTGTCTTTCATCTTATTATAGAAATTTCTGTAATAATTTAGCTTAATTTTGCTAAGATACACTAAGGTTGGTGACACTTTGAACCAAGATAGAGATTAGGGGAACAACACCAGTTTATTTAATATATTTTACTTTATAAATTAAAAAGCCATTTAAGTGAGTCTTGCAATAGGTATAACATTATACTGTCTGACACAATCCTTCCACTATCATCTGCACTAATTCGGATATTACTTGCAAGTCCTACGCTAAAATCTTAAATCATCTTACAATACATTACTAAATAAAGAAATATTCTATGAAGGAGAATACTAAATATTAACCTTCATTACATTTCTAAAATGTCATACTGCATCACAGCAAGAATTCAGACCTCTAGACCGCACCTCTGGTGCTTACATGCTTACTGAGTTGGAATTGGGCCTTTTTTTCAAATTATTATAACTCGTGCCATCGATAGTATTGTTCCGTATCATTATTATTGACTCGTATCGCTATTGAAGAGAATTCTATGAATAATCATCAATTCTCCAATTGAAATCAAGCCTAGCCAGGGTAAAGATAATTTGAAAATAATTTGTAAATTTGCATTAATTTAAGGCACATTGTGTTCATCCATCTACAAGAATCTATATTGTCTACTTAATAATTTATCATTTGATTCAGTTATTCGTTGCTACTAAGCATTCTAAATTGTAATTGCAATTCAACCGATATATACAATTAACTTGATAACTGTCTACATCGGGATGAGATCGATAGAAGACAGACACATATTAAGGATAGTAGTTGTACAAAATCTTCGATATTAGATATTGTTTATCAGAACTAAGATTTATTCATTATAAATATGATCTAGTAAGCAGTAGTGATTAAATGTAGTCCTATTCGTGCATATCAATGACTCTTGAAGTACTATTGTTACATATGATAAATGAAAAAAATAATTGAACTCATTTACTAATGTGGAATTTATCACGTCGTTTCACGATACTATTGATACCATAAATAGTATCCATGCTGGACAAGATGACTACATGCTGTGTCTATCACGGCAGGTAGCTATTTTCATAATGACTCTTGCCAAGTTTAAGAATGAATAAGAAGGGGGAAAAAAATCCGAATAAAATAAGTAAAGCTGAAGAAGAAACGATGCTACTCAAATGTAGCATATCCCACCCACGAGCAGCGCGGAGGTATTTATACTACAGTTAGATGACTCTGATTATGGGTTCATTTCAATAGGTCAGTATGAGATTCTTACAGTACCTGTTACCTCAAGATTTCTTCATGTAAAACGGATAGTTCTAAGGTAGTCATTTCTGCAGAGTACTGATTATTAAAATAGTATTCGTTATATCGCTAAGTGTGGCCACTGGGGCCTTTCAATTTCGATTTGATGTAATATTCTGATGAAAATTGAATAAACATAGAATCTTTATAGAGTTTTCTACACAGCCATTTTGATTGTTCCATTTTCTTATAACGGTTGCTATCGACAGAACAAGCTTTGCTTGCATACTCAAGCGATCCTTAGACTCATTATCATGATTGGTATCGAATTGACTACAGTACAGTACTATAGACATTGTACCGCACTGTCGATATCTAAAGGTGCGTTCACACGATGAACTTTTTTACAGTACCTGCTAATCTTAACCGTCCATTAGTTATCATCATGTGCTTTGGACCATTAACTAATCTTAATATAGCATTTCATCCGTGAATGCATTATTAAAAAGTAGTATTCTACAAGCATAGCTGTGAATATAGTAGTGCCTGGCTATTACCGGGATATAAATAATGTCGAATGGTAATACTATCTGTTAATTATGAACAAATAAGTACATTATCGTAAACCGTCAGCAAAGCGACGTGAATTTGTACTAGTCGCTATTAAAATTCTTCGCCTCTTGACGAAATGTACTGTATGCTGTACACTACAGTACTTCAGCTTTGTGATTGCAAACATTTCCTCCCTAGCTACAGTATCAAGTACTGTGGATTTTCAGCAAGCTCTGTACTGTACTGTACAGTACAGAGGGTGTCTCATAACTGTACTGTACAGTGTACAGTACAGTACACCTGTACTGTACAGTGTACAGTACAGTACACCTGTACTGTACAAGTGTACATTGTACAGTACACCCGGAAGTTGATTCGTTAAAATAGCCAATAGAACGCATTTTCGAATTAATTATTCAAGAAAGCATTATTTTAGCTAATAAAAGATAATTTTCTGTTTTTGGCTAACTATATCCTTTAACAGTCCACCATGTTTGGCATGCAGAAAAAACGGTACTTGTATATCTGCTTGCTTGTGTTAGCCATAGGGACGCACTTACTCATTTTCTATCGTGACCACATCTTTTCTTCTTACTTTCAACCTCGGCAAGTTGGCACAGTGAAGACATACACCATCAAACCTGTCGATGGCGGTAAGCAATACTATTATTTCCATTCATCCATGGAGTTAGAAACTGTAGAGAAGTGCCGTGAAGTCGTATTAACCATCCTACCAAAGATGGAGCAAAATTGCAGAAATGAACGAGTACATTATGATTCGATCAACTACTGTAGTATCCTGGGCATAGATTGAAAGCCATCGACGTTGCTAATAACTGTTACCATGTGCAACTTTGTCTTGAATGACAGGAGTTTCCGAGCATACTTGAACTTGAGGTAATTTTGTAGTCCATGTGCTTATACGATCCCGGAAATAACATAAATTGAACCGATCATGAATTGCTCGTATGTGCGTACATTGTCCTCATATAACGATCAGTAGTACTATCAGTGACGCTAGAACTATACCAGTGTATTCGGTGGTTGGAACTGAACTATTGGGTGATATAGCTCATTTCGTCTCTTTCAATCTGAAAGAGACGTTCTTCGTTAGCGTTTGAATGCAATTAATTACAGTTGATACCAAGCTATGAGCGATATCCCACTATCGTACTTATTAGTAATCCCTATCCTAATTCTACGATGACAACACGCAGTTATACCACGCTCACATTGATGGACTAGCTAAGACTCCAAAGTTATTCTCAATTATTCTTATGCTGGATCTGTTGCTTATCAAGCCTCGATTAGGGTAAGAAGGATGAACCCCAATGATGAGGACTTCCAAGTGTGACAAAGGCTTGCTGTCGATTCTACAATACACCCAACGGTATCATCCGCTGTCGAGTGTAGAAATAGTGCAGAGCCTACAATATGACTCCAAAATGGCTATGGTAGGATCATATAGAAGAATTACGAACGTTACGACTTCCAAATGTTGGCAAGGCTTACTGTAGATTCTGCAGATACCCTACTGGTAGAATCCGCCGTCGAAAGTAGAAAAGCCGCCGGTTGTTAAGGGAGGAAGGGTTGGGGATACTAGTCCATACAGTATGACAGAGAATAGCGATGTTAGGACCATAAGGAAGAACCACTGTGGTTAGGACTTCCAAGTGCTGTACAGTATTAGGAAAGGGTTCAATCGTACCCTTTGTTTTGCTGGGGTAAATTGATCCCCTATCGTTAATAATTTAATTCAGTATAGGCGCTACCTGTTTGCCAACATCATTACGATAACACAATGACAACGTTGTAAACCAAAGCGTCTACTCAGTTATATTAAAATTTTTTATATCTATTCTTAGTAACCTAACTATATCAAATATAGCTATATAATCCTTATAATCATATATGGGGTGAATCACTACACCGCCATCATTGCAATAACTGAATGAAAACGTTGTAAATCAAAGTGTTTACTCAGTCATATCAAACTTCTTCTATATCTATGCCTCATTGATGGAGCCTCAAGAGCATATATTGTTAGATTGAATTTGTTGTTATGCAATAACCTGTACTATAACTCAATAGCTGTATGGTATATACGGATGGTATAGTTTCTTTATAAGGCTAGATGCTTATGATCATTGCAATTTCAATGAGAAATTCAACCAGAAATAGAGATAAACGACTACTACAGCTTTAGGAACTATTGAAGAAAATAGTGTAGCTTTACATAGCTGAAGTAAGAAATAAACTAGCTAAGTACCTTTACCATAACTAAAACATTTTAATTCGATTCTTTAGTGAATCCAACACCAACATTAAGAAGTCAACTGCCTTATTCTAAAGCAAAGTTAACCGAAAAGTCAACATCTACATCTATCCTAGCACATTCTACATTGAAATCAACATCGACATTAAAACCTGCTTCGAGATCCATTCCAAATACGTTGGAGCCGGATATATCAAAATCAATATTAAATGAAAATAACAATAATTCAACTCCAACATTAAAAAGTCAACTGCTTCATTCTGAAGCAACGGCGACCGAAAACCTAAAACCGAATTCAAGATTCACTCCAGTTACATCGAAGCTGGATGTTTCGAAAACAATGGTCAACATATCAAATAATGTCAAATTAAATCAAACATCAAGTAAAATATATGTAAGAAAGTTATAGCCATACTTTAATCTTGAAAATTACGAATTAGTTGATATCCCCTCGTGGTGATTTGATTTATTAACTAAGTTCCATTACTATTGTTACAGCAAAGAAAATGCCAAGATTTAACTGAAATTGTGCTAAATCGTCTCGATTATCTGCAGAATCCAGCTAATTGCTCCACAGCTAAAAAACTGATTTGTGATGTTTGGGGCGCAGGCATGGGTTCAGTGGTTCATCACTGGGTCTGCTGCTTAATCTATGCATATTATACTAATCGTACGATGTTTATTGACCTAAGACAGTGGCCTTATTTGCAAGGCGTTACATCGAAGGATGGTGTAAAACAATTTGAAGACTTATTTCAAAGTATTTCCAAATGCAAGCTTACCGATTATGATAACAAAACAGCAGTAACATGGCCGAAATCGAAAAGCCAAATAACTTATAACCATAATATATCTGTTATTCGAATACTGCCGATAGGAATAGTATTACGAGATAAATTAAAATTACCCAAAATTTTTCATTTTGCATTGCCTACAAAACTCTTTTATAGGACGATCGACTTTAAATATCAGCCAATAGCTTGGTGGATTGGTCTATTAGCCAAACATATTATACGACCAAACCATAATTTACAACAATTTATTGATCAATCGAGAAAGAAATTCAAATTTCAATCACCTATAGTTGGTCTACATATCAGGCGTACGGACAAAAGAACTGAAGCCAAACTCTTTAATATTGATCAGTATATGGTAAAAGTGAAGGCATTCTTTAATCGGTTAGCTAAGCAAAGTATCCAAATCGAAAAGCGGGTATTTGTAATTACCGATGAACCATGGCTTATTAATCAATTAATTAAAAAGTATCCCGATTATCATTATGTTCATCCTCCAATAAAACAATTAACGGCTGGTACATTTACTTCAAGATACTCGGCAATCCACTTAAAATATTTTATTCGAGATTTATTTCTCTTAGCTGAATGCGATTACTTGGTAGTCACTATGTCATCTAATGTTGGTAGACTAGCATACGAATTACATGAAGTTATTTATAGCCAAACAAAAAGCAAGCATTATACCTCTCTCGACGATGATTATTTCATACAGGGACTGTATAGGAACCTTCAAGCCCCCCAAATTATGCGAGCTAATCAAGATTGTCGTAGTAATATATCGAATGGAATTAGTATCGTTAAAGGCGATCTATTAGATTCCTGTATATCTTCTAACCATTCGAAAACCATGTACTATGGCTATTCTAAACGTTTAAAAAAATCAGGATATTTCCTTCGATCTTGTGTAACTTACTTAGTCGATAACGAGGTGTATCCAGATTATAGTGAAGTAGATAAAACACTACATAGGGATGAAACAGATAGATATCAAGCAAATAGTGAGGATAATACTTGTACAAAATCTTCGATAATAGATAGAATTTATTAATTATAAATAAGATAAATACTGTATCAGTTAGTATCGACAGCACAATATTAGATAACAACGTTCAAAAATACTGAACTGAGCTGCAATCTTTAGCATTTATTTAACTGGAATACGGGGTTTAAGAAAGTATCTTACCACAGTATGTGTTTTTCACAGTAGTAAAATACCATGTAAGTGAATCACGTTGATAATTTTTAGAAACGTTCATTCATGTTTGACTTAATTTATTCGCAGGCAATAGTTTTTTACGTAAAATTTCTATAATTATAGGTTATACATCAAATAAGGAATATGTAGTACAAAATTATGCTATATCGTAATAGTACTTTAATTCATGTGTTATAAATGTTTTAATTCGATTTTTTATTATAACTTATATGTTCGCAATCGCTGCACTTTAATACCTCAGTTTTTGTGTTTGTCTTCTGTTACAAATGTCTGTTTGCTTGTAAATAAAACTTTTTTCAATCCATATTAAATTGCTTCAATTTTATTAATTCCTTCAAGTATTTCAATCAACTAAATACGTATCTAATTTATTTTATACGCTTATACTGTACTGTACTGTATAGTACAGTAGAAGACATATCTAAGGGAAAGCCAAAATACAGATTGTAGCTGTGAATGCTGTGCTAACGCATTAAAGATCAGTGATTACGCTCTACGGTTCGCAATATAGATTGCCAGATTATATAAATTGCGCTTATCTGTTTTATATAACGATAAATAGTAAAAGACTTCGAACTCAAAGTGATAGCTACGATTTGATAACTCTTGCACAACTGTAAGTATCGTTACCGCTAACAGTAGTAAAGACTTTGAATTAGCTTATACTTGATATCAACTATCAATCGCTGCTACGTAAATTATAAAATTATGCTACACCATGAAGATGATCAGTGAGCGAAGTAAAGATCAATTAGTATTCTAGAAGTAGACAGCTGCAATTATTCTCATGTGTCTATTTGGGAATCATCATGATAATAATAAAAAGAGTAAATCTTGACATCAAATGAGACACTGCTACAATTTCGACGAATCGTTGCTTTATATTTTCACTCCTACAGAAGCTGTTTGACTTTAATATCATTGGTATGTTCTACGATTAAATAATAATTTTTAGCAGTTTATGAATCAATCTAGAAAGTAACTCGGAAATCAAACACGAAATAAACTACAATAATAACTATAGACATTTTCAATGCATTTTCCAGCTTACAGAAGATAATTGTATTTCAAAGCATTGCCCTCAATTGCAAAAATATTAATATGCTTCAGTTACTGTATATCTATTTTTAGTTACTCTAATGAATATCTTTATGGCTAGTGATCCTTTCTATATCAATTAGGATTAGGTTATGCTAAAAGTAAGCAGATGTTTGTAAAAAATTACTACAATTAATAGCATTGACGTCAATCGCAACCTACAGTAAACGTATAATAAGTTATTTACATTGTGATACTGCTTTCTGATTTACTTACATTTAATATGAAACATTATTATTCTAATATTTATCTAATGGACCGTGGACTACTAACTAAAACCTATGCACTTTCAGATTTGATATAAATCTAATAATAGAAGCGAACCTACGCCAGTTTTACTCGGAATTAAGACTCCTTATGTGCTGTTACCAGTTTATTAGGTGATAGTAGTGAAGCAGATAGATAAGCTATTCTCGTCAACATCTTATGTAGAAGTGAATTAGATATAACTTAAAAATAAGACCAAAATCTAGGGTTCTTAACAATAATAGATATATATAAGTAACGTTTTTGTGATGATTCAAGTATGTTGATTTGATCTTCTTAGAATTTGATAGTAATCATATAATTTTATTCTCATACTAAGTTCTGTAAGTGTTGAATTACGTTTTTCGCAATTATCATGTTGTAAACAAGTTAGATAGCATATTTAAGCTGCTACACTTTTCTGTCATTAATGTTCTTAGTCCTTCTTTTCTAAGATCGGCTGTCGTAGGAAGCTTTCTTTGTCTGTCAGAGCTTGTTGCACTATTATGTACGTAGTACCTCAATCGATAGAGAACTAGTAATAAAATCTGCTATTCTAAAATTACTTGTATGAACTACACTTTGACTACAGTTAGTAGAACAGGTTTTGTTACAGTGATGAAAAATTCTAATTTTGCTCATTACATTCTCATTCCATGCAAAAACTGTATTACTGGCTATTTTAATATAGTATCTTTTCAAAATTTTACGTTTAAATGCTAATAAAATGAATGTTTTTATAGCTTGTCTTAACTCTATCATGAGTTTTATTAAGTTTTTAGGTTTAATAATAGCGAAGTTAGATATGAGGATCAGAAGTAATAGTAATGTATCTTAATTCTACACAGCACCGATAGCAAACTGTAAATTTCTTGTATATTTCAAAGCTGTAGTAGTGACATTTGGCTCTGAAATGCTAAAAGTTCGTAGGCTAGTAAGCCATAAATACATTTTAAAATTGTAAAATAATATAAGTATTTCTTCAAAGCCGGCTTTACGAATTTACTCGTTAGTAGATTGCCTATAGATTGTAATACAAAAGCTTGTTCAGAGATGCAAATTACTAGAAGCTACAATGTGTCCTTTTCCAATTCAAGATCAAGCTTACTATAATTTTAACTTCTTATTAATTAAACAGAAAGTAAACATAATTACTACTCTACAGCCATTACATAACTTACTTTGATATAGTGTCTTCTCAAACAGACAAAGAACTATAGTTTCTTGTAAACTTTACTATATTACATAAGATTAGCTTCGTCTCAGAACTGCCAAGGACTAGCTAACTGCAATCAGACTATCTCTGGACTGTATCATTACAGCGAAAGCTCACGGTTTATATATCCTTTGTACCGTAAACATCTTCCACAATTAGACACTTACGCAGTTTAACAACCTAGCGTACAATCTTTAATCGCAATCTAAGCTATATTTGGGGCTGCACTACACTTGCACATATCATTTTCGGTATGACTAGTGCAAACTCCCGTCGCTTTGCTAACGATTTACGATAATGTGCTCATTTAACAGAGAGTATTATCATTTGATAGACCTGTCAGAGGTTCAGTAACTTTATACCGTGTACTAATTTAATATAAGGTCACAGAAAATTGTCTTGGCATCATTGCTCTAGACAATCTATGTTAATAGCAAGCAAATGCCCATTTAAAGTAGTACCAATAAAAGTTTTATCTAGCAATTCATTATTGAAGACTACTGTATCGGCCATTATATCTGAAACCTTAATAAATAATGCTTTGTGCGTTAAAAACTGTATTAAAACATTTTGTTAGCAAACGGCTGTATAATTAGTCGCAAATGAAGAAAAATAGACAAGAGTCAATTTCATATCTTTTTATCGTTTACAGTTTCATGAATGAGTTTTTAATATCTTATCAACGATTCTATGTAGAATAATACTTTTTTTATATTATTATTATACTTTCAAAGCACATTATTGCAGTACTTAGCTGCAATCACTGCACCTAATTTTTATCTAGGGTATATCTAGAATGGATTACTGGAATTACCGCCATCTTTACTATTTTTATGAGCGCAATAATCATTGGTGTCTTGTCTATGCTAATTATACTCGCAAAACAATAGGGCAACAAGTACTACTCAATAACGTTTGTGAATATGTAAGTTTGCAGATGCAATCATCAACAGATTACTAATGACAATTTGCCGTCATAGTAAATTTTAATGACAAAAATTAATTCCAGACTCAAGAATGGGTAAAATAGATATCGTGTAAAAATAGGCAAAAGTCGTTACGATACGACGGACATCGCTTTATTTATTACAGACAATTTTTTTTTTCTGATTTACTTATCCTCTAGCAGTGATACTGTGATTGAATATGGACGTGTATACCATCATTGAAATTATAGAATGACTATGTCGTAAAATCATAATAACTCAGTCAAATTGAAAGTTTTTAAGCCATACTTCATTAATTAAGGTAGCTGTAAGATCGTATACTATTACGTTGAATTAATATAATATTCCCTTAGTATGTAATTACCTGTACATTATTCAATCTATGTTTAGAATTAGTCAGTTTTTGATCAAATTCAATACGTAATACTTTGAACTGATTTAACCATCCTTACAAAATTCAAACAATAACGCTACCGAGTTTATTCAAAACTTCATTTTCTACTCAGGCAATGTTAAAATTATAAGACGCGACAATTTGTTCCTAGTTCTATCGATTCTCCAGTCTGTAAGCAGTTTATAGTCCATATAAATCTAAGCTATGCCAGCGAATGGATGGTAGACTAGCGAACTCCGCAACGGTAAAATTCATCGTGTTGAATATGGTATCAATAAGATGAAGTTGTTAATCGCATGGAGTGTTTCATTCCATGTACAAATTGGAAACATTAGAATCAATAAAAGTACGATACTATTTAAGGTTGCAATTGAAATCTCCACGTCTTTCCATTTAAAGAAATGATGGAATTACATCTCCTGCAGCTCCTTACATTTACCAATAAGTAAATCATAGTATCATCCGCCATCCTAGTTACAGTAGTGCATCCGAAAAGTGGTTTAGCATCGTCAATTAGGGAGCTCTCTACGGTATAGACTAGACTAGTTTTTAAGATGGCGCGGTACTGTTTTACCATCTAAATCATAAAATTACCGTCTATATTGGCGAATTGATATTTGACCAAGGACTTGCTAGGATTTGATCTGGTTCATTAGTTTCGCTTATACTGTAAATAAATCATGGAATAGTGCGTCATTTTATTTATAGCAGTACATCGGAGGAGCTATTTAGCATCATCCAGTTGGGAAATCGTGGGCTAAGTATACGGTAGACTAGTCAGCGATTTTAAAGTTGGGCGGTTCTGTATTTTTATCCATCTCATAAAATTACAGTAGGATACATATCGGCGAATTGATGTCAGATAGGCTAGGACTTGATCTGGTCTATATTAGTATGGCTTATAAGTTTATCATGGTATAGTTTGCCATTGTAATGACAGTAGTACATCGGAGAAACTATTTAGCATCAACGCCCTATCAGCCATGGAAGGAATTGTAAGGCCTGTAGACTAGAAAGTGGTTTCAGGCTGTTCGGTATTTCTATCCCTATCGACGGATTGATGATGGAATATGGATATATTAAGATTAGATCTGAGCTATTCGTGTTGCCTATAAGTAAATTATGGCATAGCCTGGCACACTCATTTTAATTATAGAAGTACATTGTGTGCGCCATTTCTAATCCTATGCACAACAGCAGATCAATCAACAGCTTACTACCATGAATTTACTGCCCATATCCGCGAAATGATTGTACTGTAGACTAGAGTAGACTAAGGAAAAATTAGGATTAGATCTGGTCCATCAAACTAGCCTATAAGTAGACCCATAGTAGAATCCGTCATTCTTTATAGTATACATTAGTACATAAGAAGAGCGATTGAGCATTATCAATTGAAGTAATTATAAGTGAACGATTTCAGGTTTTATGATAATTCATACCCTATCATCAATCTACTACGCATAGCGATGAATTGATGATAGGCTTGGGAAATGTGATGATTACATCCAGCCCATTCGTTTTGCCTATAAGTAAATCATAAAGTAGCATAATCCGCCACTCTAATGACTTTTAGTATATCGGAAGTGAGCTATTTAATATCATCCATTGGAGAATTTGCAAACTGCCAGGAGTCCAAAGAGCGACTTTTGAACCGTGTAGTATTTCTATTCGTGCCTTCATTAGTCCATCTAGCCTCTGCTGGCTACCATGAGTTTACTACGGATATCGGTGTACGGATAGCGGTTTGGCTGTATTTTAGCAATGCAATACTGCAAACAGCATTCATACATCCGTTGCATTCGTTTTGTCTCTAAGTAAATCATAATGTGTCATGATCGTAATACATTGGAAGATATAGTATCATCTATTGGAGAATGTGCAAGCTGGCAGTAATCCAAAAAGCGATCGTGCCCGTTGTGTTTCCACTCTTAGTCGTTAACGTTAACACGAGGAACTTTGATACACTCCTACTAGTAAGCTTACTGAAAAGTCTCCTTTTATTTAGGATTTACTGCATTTAAATAGTATAGCTGTAATGGCGTATTATACCCTTATCTTAGTAATTCATTACCTTATCTTATGCTAACACGTTAGGTGCAGTACAACAAGTCACTGTATTCTTACATACATAACAGTGCCTTCACTAGATAGTAGTTTGGTTACATTTTAGCAATACAACACTGTAAACAATCTTGATGCATCCGGTCAATCGGTTTTAAGTCTAAGTAAATCATAAAGTGTCATGATCGTAGTACATCGGAAGAGAGCTATTGAGCATCATCTATTGGAGAATTTGCTAGCTGGCAGTAATCCAAAGAGCGACTATGCCTTCACCAGATAGTAATTTGGCTACATTTTAGCAATACAACACAGTAAACAACCTTGATACATCCTTTCCATTCGTTTTGTCTCTAAGTAAATCATAAAGTGTCATGATCGTAGTACATCGGAGAGCTATTGAACATCATCCATTGGAGAATTTGCAAGCTGCTAGTGGTCGACAGATCGGTCTTCGCAGCGTGCAGTATACTGTATTCCTCCTATCCGTGTCAACACTAGTACAGTACAACAAACTACTGCTGCCGTTCATAAGTTTACTACGAATATATCGGTGTATGGATAGTACTTATGTTGCATTTTAGCAATGCAACACTGTCAACAACATCCACTTCCCCTGGATATTTTTATTCCACCTTCAAGCCCTCAGGCCATGCTAGCCAGGGAGGCGAAATTATCAACATGCGCGCATCAACACGATACAACTGCGGTGAGAATACCATATCGTATTCCATGGATTTTATTCTTGATTTACTCTTTCCTGCGATCATCCATAAAACAGGCAGGAAGTTGAAGTGTTGCAGGACTAAAGTAAGTAGTCTGATGTTTTGCAATGCCATGTTTTGCTCTATCATCATCATCATTTAGATGTTATTCTCGCAGTTGGCCCTTCGGCAAAACTCCCGCCAGGGGCTCGCACTTTTCTAGCCAACAGTATAGTGTTCACAACACCTTGTTGTGCTCCATAGTTTTTATTATCCCTGAACGCCCTTCGACGATTGGATATCGGAGAATCGGTAATCTGTCCGGGAGTTTTTTTTACGAAATATGCTATCATAGGCAGTAATGTGTTTAAAACATGATGTTATACAAGTGGCTTTTCTATCAATGGCTGGTACCAGTAAAGCGCCAAGACTAATCCTATCCATTGGGTAGGCTTTTGGGTACCGCCCCTTCGAATATGCGCAGTTGCTTTCCATCATATTTAAATTAGATAACTATCCATCGAACGGTTAACCGTTGGGCATCGTTCCGATTGATCATCTCTTCCAGCGAGAAAATGATCAAAATTGACCAAATTAGCTTCAGGAACAAGGACCGCCAGCTTCTGTTGGCATCATTCAAGCACAGTTAGGACCTTGGTTATACGATCGATCGTAAGTATCATGATGAATGATGAATTGATGATGGTGAAGTGGATCGGTCAATCAACAATTTTCCTATCCATTTTCTGTTCATTCCTATTGAATTCCACTGTCTTGCTTATAGCATTGCATTAGCAACCAATAGGAAAGGATGGCTGATATTAGCCATCATGTATTCACGATCTATTCGAATGAAGGATTATGAAATCATTTGATCCCATGTATTGGGTATCTGGGATGTACTATGTCTCACTTACAAGGGATTTGTTTTCAAATCGTCAATATTGCCAACGAGCAGTACTGATCCAATATCTTTTCTTGCCGCCTTATTAGGAAAAGCGGTTTGTATACCAGTGCGCAAAAAAGATCAACCCTATATCTACAGAGGCGTTGACGACAATCAAACAGCAGCTGGTAATAGAATTACTGATTGCTGATTAGAGTTCCATTGGGATTTCGATCAATGGGCTTCGATCGAGAGTGAACATTGACGTTGTACTCGATCGTTGTAGCTCGATCTTTCCTGGTTAACTTCTTCCAACATTGCAACAAGTACTCGTAGAAATAGCGCTATCCAAGGAAATGGTTGCCTTAGCGATGGAAGACATTCGAGCCCGTATTGAGACTTTAGACGATAACGAATTAAGGCGAGAATTGAAAAATTTGGGTCTAGATATAGGCCCCATTACTGCTACTACCAAAGCAACTTTTATCGGCTTATTGGCTAAAAAATTGCATCGATTAAATGGAGGTGAAGTTCCGCCCGACAACGATCAAGACACGGATGTTAAGGTAACATACTGTGCTATAATCTACCATATCCTATCATTCACTTGCTATCAGAACCATCTATTTTCGATACAGTCGTCCTACCATGTTATAATTTGATTATCATCGGTTCATGACCATGACAATTGATGTACGTTTACATTGAAACAACAATTGTTTTGATACCTTCAGGCCGTTTCAAATAACTCTATCAACAGCTCTGCCGTTTGCCGTAAGAGCAATTCTGATCAGAAGCCATCGATTTACTACGGAGTTTGGTTAGGTGATGATCAGCAATCAACCGAGTCTGTACCCACGACTCCACTAGTTTTCGATCGAAAGAGCGATTTAGAAAAATACTTGAAAGGTCATAAAACTGCTCGGTTTAGAACTTTCAAGAGTAAAAACGACGCAGAATGTTATTCTTTATCGACATCGCAATATGTAGTCAACTCCTCGCTCAATGGCAGCAGTCTCGATACTGAACCCCCGCAACAGTACCATGGTCCATCTCGGACGATCATTAGTCACTTGCAACGTGCTGCTAGGTGTGGCTTGCTAGAACAGTATTCTGATCTAGTGGAGCAAAATCCTCGATGTTTACTTACTGCAGGTTAGAAAGGAATATTAATAGACATTTTAACTGTAAATTTTAAATTTTATCAAAGCCGTTCATAGTAATGTGTATCATTTACTGATGAAAAAATTGATAACGAGTAATTACTTTATACGTGCAACTGACTATTCCATCAATCCCAACTCATACCATGGCTAGTAATACAGTACTTCTGCAGGGACACAATCGTTTCCTAGTCACTGAAATGATTCCCATCCATATTATAAAATTGTTACGTAAATTGTACTGCTTAGGAAAAATGGATGCATCCCTTACTGTGACTAGTGTCTGCAATTTTTGTCTATGTGAAATCCGAGTTCAATTATTTTTAAAGTTACTATTACGTGTCTTATGTTATGAAATGGATTCTTTTTATGGGCACTAGTACATATCTTGCTTATACTTATACTTGGTGTTTATTGATGGAATAGCAAAGTACATACAATTTGTTGATGGGATGAGTACATTATGTCAACATGTTATAGATTTGTCATTGTTTTTATTGAGATACAGCGATTGATATATAAAGGTTAACTAAAACTACAAGTTGTGATACCTATAGTATAATGTACCATAATAGGTGATATGTTGGTAATAATGGCAGCTTCAGCATACTTGCAACTTAGCATTTGATCAATCCAAGCTCATACCATGGCTAGTAATATAGTGCTACTGCAGCAACGCTCTAGTTTACTACTGACTGAAGAGATTCTCATGCGTATTATAAAATAGTTGGACAATGGTAGTACTTAGGAAAATGCATTGATCGTTTATAGCCGCTGTATGCAATTTTATCCATATGTAAACCTAGTTGAAGTATTTTCAAAGTTATAACTAGCCCCTCAGGTTATAAATTGGATTCTTTTCAATAGGTAGTTAATGATGGACTACAAAGGTACAAACAGTAGATTGATGGATGAATACTTTACGTCAACACACTACAGATTTGTAATTGTGTATAGTAACTCCAAATATGAGATACTGCGATTGATGACATGCTATTCTAAAGCTAGATTAGGTTAATGTTTACGAATGATCAGATGATATGATCGCGTGCGATTTTGTATGAGTAAACAATACGAGTTTTCTAAATAACTCGTTTTATTCATTTTTTGGTTAGTGTTTACGATGATCAGATGACACGGTAGCGTGCAGTTAGTATGAGTCAACAAAACCGAGCTAAATAACTCGATTTATTCGTTTTTTCTTGTAGTTGAAACCCCGGTTATTCTCCAAGAAGGCTTACGTTATAATGCAATGCACTTTGGATCACATTATAATCAGCCTGAAATCTGCCAATATGTTATTGATAAATGTAAAGATTTGCAATTTTGGAAAAAGTTATATCCCAACGATGATTCTGAACAGCTGCGTCAAAATTGCATCAACATAGCTCTGGATCGTTACTTGAATACACCGGACAAAATGGTTATAAATCATACTATCTAATCTTTATAGCAGATGCTTTAAGGGTGCTTACTTTAATGACATTCGTTTTGCTTATTTAGTGTAGAATTCTAATAAAAAAATCTTATTACTATTCTCGGATTTAGCTGGCGGAGACACCGCTACATTTTGCTTGCAAGTTTGGTTTCACTGAGGTGGTTAAGAATCTACTCCATGAACCTGCAACCTTGAGAAATTGTAAAAATAAACACGGCAAGCTACCATTCGACGTAAGCCATTTTATAAAGTAAACTTTCAAACTTACTACACTAAGTGCACATCAAGTCCCTTCACTCTAAGAATTACGTATCGTGAAAAAAAGTACCATTACCATAGGCATGGGTTCTCCAAGTAGAACGTGTTGTAGCGTATTATTTGCGCCCAACTGATGCCACTGCAATAGTCTCGTATTAATAATGTTATGAGTTCACTAATTAATTATAGTCTCTTTTTAAGTACACAAGCAGAAGTTGCATAAATCCTTATGGCTTATTCAGTACTTTCTTATTCAACTATTGTGTATGCCTATTTTTATGATTTGCTTTCCACGCATTTTGATATGGGTTCTGTATAGATTATCATTTGAGCAATCATATTCCTTTCTGATTTTTCTACACAGCTTATATGTACCCGATACAACAATGAAGATAAACAAGAAGTTAAAGAATCGATAGAAAATTTATTTACAGGTTACATATTAAATTACTCCTTAAAACAATTCGATTTTGCACATGGCCTATTCGTGAGATAAGGTAGTTAATCTTCCTATGATCGTACACATTTATGTAGAACATTACTTTGTCCCAATTTACCGGGAAGATGATAATGTTGTACCGCCAAAGCTTGGTACGCCGTGCAAGTCAGATCAAATTAATTTGAGCTTTGACGAAAGTCTGTTAGACAAAGCATTATCACCAATCGATCCCAAGCGAGTCCTAAGAGCCTACGCAGGTCCAACTTCTCCTGCTTTGGTAAGCTTCAATTAACCTATGGTATAGTTAATAGATGAGTTTATTATTTAAAATGAGATTAGAAATACTTCTGGATCGTACTGTACTGTACATAAGTACTGTATTCTTTTGGCGGATAAACATTGCATTTTATAATATTAAAAATCTCTTTTCCGTTATCTGTATTTATCAATAACATAAGGCAAAGGAATTTCATAAATTGCTGGTAACTCCATCGAGTATAGAAAAACGACGGGCTTACTCTGATATCAAGTGCCGAGATAGCGAGAAAGGAATCGAAAGAGTTGCCAGGTATGGCCGGGTATTCGATGATAGTTGGGACTTTAATGATGCCTATATATGTATTCTATTATCCAATGTTGTTACCCGTATGTACGTAGATTGGTTAGTCAACGTTCTGCCATTGATTCACCTCTGATTATTATATGCTATGATATTTCTCGATCTAGATCACTTGCACGAGATATGCAGGTTCCTTGGAAAGAATATTGGAAATTTATGGATGGTTATGCAGATTTTATGACTTCTGATGGATTAATGAAGCTAGAGAAATATCTAAAAGAATCGAAAGCAAAGACATCAACCGCCAAAACAACGGGTTCGTAGCATGATTTTATATTTTACTTATCATCCATGTGCATTGTACGGTATAAACATCAGATAGATAGTTTGCAGATATTCGACATTATATATTTACGGTATGGGAAATATAGGTATTATTTTACTACTAGTAAAAGCTTGAACTGAAAATTACACTATCTTTATTGCATTGGGCTGCATGCGTTTCCGTAGAATTAGATAATGTTACATCCAAGCTGGATACTATGAATTTAAGCGGTACTCCTGAAAGCAACACAACACCTCGACGTGGTGAATCGGACATGGAGACGGAAACAGATGAAAATACAGATGGATTTCTTGTCGGGTAATTAAATTTCATTTTATTCTCAACCGGAGAATTTCATATCAAAACATAGCAATAGCCATATTAAATAAGTTAGTATTTCGATTTTGATGTGGTATTCAATTAACATGCCTGTATTCAAATGCATTGAAGATACAGTTGTATTTATTGTATGGATATCTGGCTTTTTAAGTAGAAAAATTGCTGGTATCGATTTGGATGTAATGCGAGCAATAAGGCCAGAAGATCTTGATAGCAATAAGTATCCACTTGTAACTGAGTGGTACAATAAAGTTTCTTCCAAAGCCAATGCAGATCAAAGTTACGATAGGTAAATGCATTGATGATAGTAGCATGCATGAAGTAAATGTAATTTAACTACGTGATCATTTCTCTGTTGACATTCTGACTGTTATGCCAATTTTGGATTACCACAGGTTGAGAAAGAAACAGCTTGGTAAACGGATCTTATTCAAGTAACTTTAAAACGGAAAGGTTCTGCTAATAGAGCATATAATAATATACATAGTACAATATGGTATACCGTCATCTTATGCATGACATTCAATTCTCAGAGATCTGTATCCTTTGAATTTAAATTTCAAGCTATAGCACTTTTGCTAACTCATGTACAGGTGTATTGATCATGTTAGATCACCATCAACTTGCACTGTTTTCTATATCGTATGGTACTTTATTAGATTGTACAGTAATCATTTTCAGCGATAGTGAACCATAACGGGTAATTGGACAGGGTAAATGTAAATTTAAAACTTAATCCTACAGGCATATTGTACTGTACTTTGGTGTCATGGATGTGATGTACCTAGCTGTACCATACCTATCAATGTCAAAATTTTTTCTCACTTTAATGTTTATTTTTCACCAAGCAATGGCTAATACACCAAACACGTTTGAATTCAATATTGCCTAACTTTGTTTATTCATTTCTGTCAAGAAATAGATGCATATACCATAATTTATGGTTGTTTATAAAATAGATACGTTCACAATATGTAAAATAGCACTAGCGATAAAGATTTATTCTACGTTCTAGATTGAACGCTTGCGAATAGTATGTGATTGTATTACTCTCTCGATTTATTGTGGAATGGTCAATTTAATTTAGAAATTCTGAACATATCCAAGTATGAATTATATACCAAACACGTAAGTTGTCCTTTGATGAATAGCACTAGGATGACTTGGGTTAATCATTTCTGATGTAATCGCCATACCTTTTTAAAGTTCTAATGGTACTACTAACACCGTTTTAAAAAGTATTTTGAAATAAAATCTATTCTCAAAAATTGGTTAAACTTCGCTTATCGTGGTTTATGACGATGTTTGTATGATGGTCAGCAACCATATCTGCTTGCACTATCTATTTATCCAAGGTTTCTAACATTTTATGACAATAAGCGTTTGGAGAATTTAACCAACTTGGCGTAAAACGCTAGAACTATAGCCAATGAAAAAGTATTAACATTTTAGTCAATGATCTTTGAGAGCATTTGCCAGTTTATTTCTTTCGCGGTCTCTGTCATTGAGAAAATTAGGCCCATCTTTTTTGAGTCCTTAGCTAAATTATATTCTATACTGGGTGATGAATACTGTAATACACATAAGTGCTCGATATTGACTATCAGTATCATTGCAAAGTACTGCTGTAAAGCGATGACGGATTGGATGTGACTGATAAATTCGAGCAATTTCCTTCTACTTTTTCAATTGCCTGGTGTGTGTACGATTTTAGCCTTATGTGTTAGACTTTCTTAACGCATTTAGCTCCTATCAGCTTGTGATTTTGTTTTGTTTTCTCGTGATGATTCCCTCAACTGTTCTGCTGCATATCTATATGATTTTGATGTGCTAGACTGCACGTTTAGTATCTATCCTTGCACCAGGCTGCGGTCTTGTTTCTTTTGTATTGATGATGTTGTAGGTATTTCTTATTGATGATCACTGCATAGAATCAAGTCTTTCCTGCTTCCCGTATGCTTAGGGATATCGAAGCGGTATGCTTGTATAGTATAGAGACTGTATAATTTCTTCATTGACAAATCTATCGGATTGTTATCTTCCCGAGCGCGATGGATGGAGACGATATATTTTGTGAAATAAGGGACTCTGGTTAGCACGCCATTTATCCATTCTTGGATCGCATGATAGAATTGAGTTTAACTAGACTGTAATGTAGTAAACATAGAATTAAGCAATAGCTGGACACGAGAGTAACGAAATAGGAATAAAGAGCGTATTCAATTGCAGCCTGAGGAAGTGTCAAAGCTGCTTGAAACATATATAACGATACATTCAGAAAAAACTATATGGACGGAATAGATTGTTCATTTCTGGCTAAGTTGGATAATCACTCGGAAAATACGTTATTCATTTTCGTCAAGGTTAAGAGGGTAATAGCTCACTTTGCGTAGCACCTCTCTACAAACGTACAAACGATCGCTATACTTGTTATGACTGAATACTCCTTTTGCATCTTGTCTAGCCTTGGCAACGATATGTTTGATCATGAGAGAAATGATACATTTTCCCTATTATTATAATTTTGTAATAGGAAGACCTTTACTTTGCCTATCTCATGCTATCGCAAAGTTGCTTATGACTGCAACTTTTGACAAGTGCTAGTAATACTGTACTGGACTACTAGAAAAAAGCCTTTCTTCTATTCCATGGCTAATATCAAACCTCAAGCAAAGGGAAAGCAACTTTCTCTTTGATACGACTCTGATTGTGTGAGTAGGATTGACTTCAGCTGCAAGATTCCATGCACTTACAGTAGTATCTAGCGTTGGAAGCGGAAGGCTACCATGTGCGGCTGTGCCTTCCTAACTATGCCTACTTTGCTTTACCCATATCTTCCGAAATCATGCTTAACATGGCATGTAATCTCCTGATATCAGGCTATATCCAGACATGCATAGACTTTGCTTTGCCGGCATTTTGCTCAAGCTTCAACTATTCAACATTGCAAACTCAAAGTATGACTTGACTTCAACTGGCAGATAGCATTCGCTCAAGATTAATTCGTCCACTGTTTTGTGCGTCTAACAAAGACGATAATATTATTCTGGCAGTAATATAATGCTTTAGAGTAGTGCTAGACAACAACGGCTACTGAAATACGATCACACAGGTAAAACATGGCCTGGATGAAAGGGTGTTCATAAAGTTTTAATGTTAGGCTAAAGAGAAAGTTGGGTTATCAAGGAACAGAAAGTCAAGACTGCACATTGAAGGTATCTATTCTGTGGAACAGAAATGTGTGAAATAAATGTCGCCCCTTATAGTATAGTGTCAAGATTTTCTACGCCATCTCCTTTACATCTTCTGATACACTGCGCGATGAGTGGGCTGCGCTTTCTTCGCAGAGGCTACAGTGTACAGTCACGAACTTCTACAGTGTACTGTACTGTACAGACACCAGACAAGTACAAGATGTACTGTACACTGTACAGTATTAGTAAAGACCCGCAGAGTACTGAAATTGTGGTCTCCAGTCCACCGTCCGAACATCCTGACATCGAAAACACTTCATTGACTGTTTGTGGTCATTTCAGTACCCCTTTTGTTATTGACGTGGTTGGACTGTCCAGTGACGGAAAGTCAAGACTGCACAGCGCACAGTGCACATTGAAGGTATCTATTTTGTAGAACAGAAATGTGTGAAATAAATGTCGCCCTTATAGTAGAGTGTCAGGATTTTCTACGCCATTTACTTTACATCTTCGGATACACTGCGCGATAACTGGTCTGCGCTTTCTTCGCACAGGCTACAGTGTACAGTGTACAGTCACGCACTTCTACAGTGTACTGTACACAAGACAAGTACAAGATGTACTGTACTGTGTACAGCATTGGTAAAGACCGGGAGAGTACTGAAATTGTGGTCTCCTGTCCACCGTCCGAACGTCCTAACATCGAAAACATTTCATTGACTGATTGTGGTCGTTTCAATACCGCTTTTGTTATTGACGTGGTTGAACTGTCCAGTGACGATTGTCAGCCAACGAGCCTCATACAGGTCGTCTGCGATGTGTCACCTATCGGTGTAGTCACTCGCCCGTGGCATCGTAGTCCAAGACAACACTGCTTTCTTCTTGCTTCTCTTTGAATTCTTTCTCTCTTTGCCATTTTACTCTATTCCGTTGATTGAAATTTCTTATTTTCGGCCTTCTTTCCCTTGGATTAGACACTTCTCTCGGCGTTATTGCGTCGATCTGGCCAGTGGTGATCAAGGTAAGCAACAACGTCTTGAAAGATTGATTGTTTCCATTGGCAAGGAGCGAGAGAACATTACGTCAGCAAAGGCTTGCAACTTACATTCATTGAATTACAAGCGTTGACAATTTCCTTGATTGGCGGTCCATGATTGCTCGCAATCATGCCTAATATTGAATTCGATGTTATCCAAGCGCAAGATGTTGATATCCGTGAAATAAGCCAAGATGAAGACGAAGACCATCCTATGAATATATTACATGAAGCATTGACCATTCGCGGTGTAGGCAATGTAACACTGTAAGTCAGTAGCGAAGAGGCCAAACACTGAAGCCATTTTTTCAATGACTTTCAATGAACTTGTTATTCATTCTACACCGAATTGTTGAAATTGCTATTCGTTTTTAATGTTATAACTGACTAAATGATGCACAGCCATGACACAAGTTCCTTGTTAGTTGTAATAAGAGTTAATATAGTAGAGCAGGATGGAAGAGGGATCACGATATTATAAAGTCAGTAAATTTCTTCAAACAGACCCAAAAATGAGCCTATAGTATTGTACTATTAAATTCGGTAATAGCCGAATTCAAATGCTGTTTCTTATCCATAGATTAAACTCTATATCCATGATATAGAGGTTAACACCAAGTAGCTTTAAAAACTTCCAACGCAGTAAATATCTCGATCCAATATCTCATCTTAGCGACAGTGGCAATGACAGAGCAAAAAATTGAATTGAAAATACAAAGTCAAAGACTTTCGATATTCAATGGATGGATTATCGATTAGGGTCTTCTTGGTCCAAGTCTTAAACTAACTTTCGTCTTTGATATCATAACAAGAAAACGTACAAGTGTTGTAACTAGAAGAAGAATAGTGCTACAAAGAGACTGGAAAGGGATAACAGTATCGAAAGTAAATTTCTTCAAGGATTTGTCTCTTACTGTGTTTATTAGTTTCAGCGATAGAGTATAAATCATCTGCAGTAGGTACCAATTTTATTAGTCCATTTTTCTGACTGCTACTCAAAAAATATTAAAGTAGAATGACGCATTCGATAACCTAGCAATATTCTAGATTTTATGAATTAAATTGAAAAAGAAATTCCTGACGATTGTTGATTTTAACAGGATAAAAGCATAGGAGATTTTTAAAGGTAAAGACTCTATTATGGTTCACTTGGACTCTACAGCAAACTTTTATTACATCGTCATGTCTAGCGAAATTGAGCTCGCTATACTGTACTGTACGTAATACGACTTTATCTAAACTTCTTTCGATGAATTAGCTACGTTAGCGATATTCGTATCCTTTCCAACTATGAATCCGTTGAACTTATACGACCAGTTGTATAGATATACCTGAAGTAAAATATAGGTATACGCGTACGTGTACTATGCAGCGTTACATGGAACTATCGTTTATCAAGTAATTTCTGTCATGTACAGTAAGGATTTCGATAATGTGGTAATGATCGATTATCGCATTCCAAAATAGTTCAAGAAACGTTATAATTTTATAATAGCCTTCATCATAAGTCAGGACCGGTAGGCTAAAGGGCTATTAATATTTCCTACGTAACTTTAAAAGAGTGCATTCTGACCATGCACCTAACTCTACATGGAGATAGACAACTATAAATAACTTAATCTTTACTAGGTTACTACAGTAATTGAACCCTTGTCATGATAATTTTATAATAGAAAAAAAATTAAATAATGACCGTAACATATATATATATCATTTACTAAGAATCTATTCTGTTATATTATTATTATTCCTTATATGTGCTTCTCATAAACTTTCACCTTTTAAATGGATAAAGTTACCATTGCAACTTGAAACTGATCATGCACTCAGTATAAAGTATACGAGTATCTATATTAATAGACAGACATTGATTTGCTAACTTATTGAATGTTCTAATATTACGTTGCTTAAATATAAAACGATCTATGGCACATACTACAACAAGAAAATCTACTTTGAACCTATCCACAATATGACCGACCGACCGACCGAATTAATGTACTGCATTCCCCACGGTAGTGAAAGCACACAACAGATGTAAATTGCAGTTAGTTATATGCAAACTGACATGTACATTGTACAGTAGAAGAAGTGTCAATATTAAACTCTCAGCTTCGCTGTAGCTTTCTATAACTAATATTAATCAATACTAGACAATAATTTATGACTACATCATCATTGATCAAGACAGTGTTGATGGAAAGAGAACTGAAACAATAGTATCCCGAGGTATGCTGTTAATGTATACCGTACGTCAAAAAATTTAATTTATCCTCAAAAAAACATATCCCTTCTTAAGATGAGAATCTTAAGAATGTCTTTCATTTAGATTATATCCTTGATTACTCCCTGACTTCAAATGCTGCTTATCTTTATATTGGAGAAGTTTATGGAAATATATAGCTTAAATGGAGAGTAGTATCGCGCTTCATTGATCATGCTTGAATTCCTGCTTTAGGAATTGGTATCATGGGTATTCTCCTATCTTAGATATTATAACATCATCAATTTACAATACTATACACCACCTTTCCAAACCATCAGGCGATATCCGAGTCATTTTTGTTAATTTTTAGATTACTGATTATATATAATCACTTTCGTTCTATTTAGTGACAGTACAGACTATTTCGAGTAGCGTTGTTTAAATGAATCAACAACCATAAAGAATTTAAATGTCGAAAATTTTAGTATAATTATTGAATAGATAAGACCAAACTAATGTAGATAATAATGATCCAAAGTAACTATTCATTCCTTTGCTAAACTAATTCGAGGATGGAGGTTGAATCGTGAAAGTAGAAATAAAATAGGTATAGATCAGCTTACATCCTTCTTATTTTTACAAATTTACATATGATGTCAGGAAAGTAATGGATTACGCGTTTACTTAGCTTCAACTCTCATTGACAAGTAGATAAATGCCAGAACGATGGACTCTAGAATTCATTGTATTTCTGTCAAACTATGATCAAAGAAATAAAATGAACTGCGCGATATTACAAATAGCACAAATTTGGGCTGCTAAATTCGTAGCCATTTTTACCTTCGCTTTTATTATTTATGGTTATCTAAAGCTCTTTAATATTTTTTCAATCTTAAAAAAATTTTATTAGATGCAAGCTGGCACCTTTACTAATTATGTTCTTAACTGCATAACTCTTTCTAGATTTGGATTAACTAATAGATTCGAGGAAGAATTCCCTCCAGGATTACATAGTAAGGTATGTCATGTTAATGAAATAGTTCAAATTATCTACAAAAATTATACTTTATTTCATGCTAGTTAAATAATAATTGTGGTATTCTGCATTTACATTGTGGTATCCTTCCATTATACGCGTATATAATAATTTATTTTATTGCAAAGATAAAATTTATATCCATCGATTTAATATTAAAAAAATTAGGCGTAAATTGCGCAAGCTGACCCATAATAATGTTTAATTTTGTTTGCATGTCATCTTTCGGTATTGGTGTTATAATTTTAAGACCAAATTATGCAAGAATTTTTTAAACTACCTACAAAGTAAAATCCTGTGAACTCCATGACAGTTGCTATCGAAAATATTGTTATGTGTTTTCCTCATCGATGGTCAATTCTTAATTTGTTATTAATCCTTCTATTACATGTACGAAGGTTGCACCAGAAGAATTTAAAGCAACAATCTCACGCATAAATGACATTCTACAAAAAATGCAGCCAACGAATTTAAAATCGTTCTTCTGTGGATGTATATGTTGTTGCTGTACATTGGGGTGTTCTTTATGGCCTGTTATTTGTTTAAGTAAACGTGTAAGTAGTAGCTGCTGTTACGTTATGGTATTACTAGCCCTAAAACTGTTATGTTACTATCGAGCTTAAGATTAAATTACGAAGATATAACTTTTCGTTATAAATCGATCATAGGAGGTATTAATTTCTCCACTTATGACACGAAATCACTACCTGTAATGGTAAAATGTTGTATATTTCTGCTAAGATCTCCTTCACTTACGTCATAGACTAAAAATGCCATTGCCAAAGCCTTAGACTACGATAATAACCATTCGTATCACAAGGTAGGAAAAGGCGCTAGTCAATGATTGATTACTTTTATTATCGAATAAAAATTAAATGGAATTAGACTGTTACATGACACAAACAACTAATTACAACGATGTTTTATGCTAATGCGCATAATATTACATTTGATTTTTTTCTTCATGAATTGACACGTAGCTTGGATTACACTGGGTATTAAAAAAAGTAAAGTGCGATTCCAGTAATATGTTGGAATATGTAAGTTAACGGTCATCATCAATTTCCACCATACCGTTATCAAATAAAAATCCTAAAATTTTTATATTCACGATCTTTCCAGTACTTTCCTCAGCTATAGACATCTTCAATTAAATACTTTGCTATATAGGAAATCTTTCTTTCATTTTAATAATCTATAACAAGAGCACCTTAAATCGGTCGTATTTACAGCGTGGTAATTTTTTCCATTAGGTATTATCCATTGAATACATACCTAAGAAAAACTTAATGAAACCTGATTAAGTCATATTTTGATGCAAGTACTTAATTTTCTATTTATGGTATGTTTAATAACGGTAATATAATATTACTATAATACTTATCATGATTTTATCATCTCCAATCTTGGAAAATGTCATACTAAATCCTTCAAGAAGTTGCATTTATAGTATTTACAAAATTAGATAATTTCATATTATTGTTCGAAAACGTGGATCGTATCTTTAAGCCTAACTTCTAATTGTGTATCATATCTGTAACATAGAAATCAAATTTAAAACATCGCACCTATTACGTAACATATTTGATACAATTCTCGATTCTTGACAACATTTTAGAGCACAGTTTGCACTAAAAGTGCAAGTTAATTTAATTTATTATTGCCTACCCTATATTGAAATTCATCGCATATTATTTCGAGATTAAAACTGGGACTATTACAATACATAGGTAATCAGAAAATGCACGCTGTAAAATATCCCCTGAAATCTTTATACTATATTATCGTTATTTTCTTGACTATAATTTATCAGCACATCTAGTCTACTATCCTTAATTACTGAAATGCCTTCGCACAATTGTGTCATGTCATATAAGTTACTTTATATAAGATTGATATTCTAACGCGGTTCAAATTTAACTATATCATGTAAAATATTTTACTAAAAGGAATGAATTGTATCGTTTTGTCCCATAATTAGGAAAGTTTATAATCCAATTTATAGCCTGATTTAAAGACAGATTACCATAATCACACTTTGCGTCATATCTGCGTTCTTATTGTCGTTGTGATTCTACTATTAGAACATTTCATCTACTCGTATATCTATGTATTATTTCTGATTTATTCATTGCCATATTCTATGAAACTGTCTGAAAATTAATAAACATATTAGAAAGAGCGGTGATCAATTTTTATTCTGTATCGATGGATTCTATGTCTAGTTTCTGATGCAGTTACCTTTTTTCGCCATCTTTGCCTTCATCTAAAAATAAGCTACTATAATATTAATGAAAATAAACGTATATCACTGGAAAAGCTACCCATGCATTGCTTGTGACGAGGTAGATCAAAATCTTATGCTTTATGTACAACAATGGCCTAAATTTGAGCATATGCTCTAAAGGTGTTCGCTCCAATAAAATTAACTGACCAAACCAATGTAGGTATTTCCGTTACCAGTTATAAAGATTCTATAAAGCTATTTTCTCGCATATATTTTGATGCAAGGGAAAACTATCAAGAGAAATACGTACTTTATCGGTATCAGGAATAAGGAAATGATGATTTATATATTTGGAGTTAGGTAACGGTTAATAAATGCTCTATTAAAACAAAATTATACTTGCCTATAAAATTAGCTGTACAGTAGTGTCAAGGCAGAATGTTCCTACATTTACAGACACTTACACGATTGATTTGTTCCCGTCAACTATTGAAAAATTCCTTTATTTAATTGTTGCATATTTTAAATACCATAATAAAATTTGATGTATACGCGTATACAGAAAGAGTTTATTAATATCATCCCGCAATTAAGCTTTAATTTATTTAAAATAAACTTGCTTTCATGTTATAATATCATTGCGGTATTCAAATTATTATCGCAAGTATTGCAAACTTCATGTAAAAGTTGGAAGACCACACAGAACACGAAATTACCAATGACAAATCGTTCAGGACGACAAATAGTATATAAACTTAATGCTCAGTCAATTTACAGCAGCCAGCGTTGTAATTATAATGTTCTAGGGTTAATGTGATATTTTACGGGATATTAAGTTTATAAATCAATTAATATCACTCTCAAGATAACAGAATGCTGTATTATCATATTAACTAATCCTGACACCAAACAAAAATCAATCCTATAGAATACTATGTAAAGTATTTACTCAGTATAGTAGACTGACGTAAAAGTACTTTGTCTAAAAATTGGATGAATACATTTCATTTTCTGTCCGTAAATTATCACAACAACAAAACTATTAACTACGCGATCAGCCAGAAAAATCCAATCTTAATGTGTTCCTTTAATGAAAATATAATCATGTAATAAAAATTCCTGACAGTCCAACAACTATACCAAAAATTGAATAATTAAATCCATATTGAGAAGTGGTTACATATAATTGTACTAACATAAAAAAGGGATTCAATGAATTTTTTAGTTAAAGATGCTTAACAGGAAAACTTTTACAAATACATGTGCATGAATCTCCGCCAAATCGAAAGTATTATTGAAATAAATATGAAACTGGATTGTTACAGAACAAAGAATTTCCAATGGGCAATTATACACGAGTTTGATTGAATAGCTTTGAATGATTCGAACGAACAGAGCCATCCATCTCCTGTTTTACAGCAGCAATCTTTTCCATAAGCTGGTTGTATTCACGTCCAATTGGAAATAATAACGGCAGATAGTTACAAATACAATACAAAAATAATCATTACTATACGAAGGTATATAAAGCCATTCGATAAACTTAAGAATTGCATGATGTGTAAATACTTGCACATGATATAAACGTATACGAGTAGTTCTTTACCTTATTGCAAGCATGTTCTACAGATTTGTAATGATTATGCTCAGATTCCTAAACATAGACAATTAATATCAACAATCGAAGAATGGCTTCATCATGATCAGATAGCATAATGCTACCGATCAAAAGCAACATTATACCTGTCGCCTTGTTCGCGGATTCCATCGTAGGTAATACGATGACCAAAGACTGATGTAACGAAGGCTAGCATTTGGATATATTACCTATTAATACGTAAAGACAAAATTAGTTTGGAGTCGTTTTATCCACATACCTAAAACCTTCACATCATTCTAATATATGCCATAACTTACATGCTCATGTCTTGTATACTGAACATTTTTATAGTCTTCAACCTATAGGACGACAAAAAAATATAACTCATTTATTAATCAATAATATTACAAAAATTTAGTATCAAAATAGAATCTACGTACATTTAGATTAATATAATCCCATAGAGAAAATGTTTTAGTCTTCAAATTCTACAAAAGTAAACCATTACGTTTGACTTCTTAGTAACAACATACTATCAAAGTTAGAATCCCTGGACAATTTTAGCTTACATGCTCTTCTCTAACTCTTTCACAATCGTACAAGAAAGTGCCAAATAAGCAACTGCAAGTTATAATGAAAGTAGGATTAATAAGGATATTCAATATCGAATAATTAATTGCCTTATTAGTATTACAACCTATATAAATGGTCCAAAATAGCTATAAGAAGACGTTCATTGAATTCAAATGCGCACGGAAACTAAAATGTAGCATAACAATAACAGTCGAGGGTGAAAAACTAACGCATATACCGTCATTGAAGCATAGCATAACTTAAAGTCAGACCAATTCATTGTAATGTCAATATCCTCAATTTCTAACCTGCTGTAACACCTGCCAAACACAGTCCATAAATTGAAGAAAGACCGGTGAGCGTTCGCTATCGTTTGGCTTATTTTCACCGTGACCAATACGCTATTATAAATTAAATCGTATTTAAGTACGCATTAACCTTGAAGCCATTACAGCATTAATGACGGTACCTGTGCAAATTTATGACCAAAACTTAGCCACTCTTTTTCAATTAGAACCTAGACATAAATTATTCATAACAACCTGTGTGAGACAATTATACTTGTAATAATTATACTAACATCACTGCATCGTAGTAGCACATGTTATGGTCAATAAAGTGATGCAATAGGCATTATTACTTTGAATCTATTACCTGAAAACCATTGATAGTTCTATATTCGGGGTCTAACAGTAGCATGCTAAGACCGGTCAACTGAAAGAAAGCATACGAAAGATTTTATTAGAAAAATTGACTGCAATTTTGATTAAAAAAGTACTAGTAAGCATATTACTTATTTACCTGTGCCGTTCTATCCCAGCCATCACTACAGTGTACGATTACAGAATGGTAACGTCTCTCGACCAAATCAACGATGAAAATAGCTCCAGCAAGAACCAACTAAAATGTTAACAGAGTGAATAATTACATACACCACTGTTAATGTGAATGAACTTCAGTGCTAGAACATCCAAAACTATGTTGCAAATTATGCTGTATCTACCTTGATGTGTTCCAACCACTTTGTTGATTCTAAATTAGCATACCAATGCACATCGTCAATTGCGTAGCATACATCGCGTAATTTATTCATACTAAATGGAAAATGCAAAAGTAATAATTTATAACTTTAGGTAAAACTCTCCGAGTCTCAGCCAGGCAGCATTTTAGACATTGAATAATAAATTGTTTTACCTATCTCTCATTACATGGATATTTTCTATATCTAAGAACTCCAATTCCATATTTGTATATTTTTCATTAGCTTCAAAACCTCCACCTTTAAGCTAAATATTAATATTACCATTATTATCTAACCTAGTATTTAATAGCCCGTACTAATTTGATGATGTAATACGCACATCTAATTTTTTGCATACCTTATTTGCGACAGCATTCTTCTTTGGTCTTGCATCGACTACGTAAATCTTTTGATCACTATTAGCCTCCCAGATGAGCTGAAGAATAATACAAAAAAGGCAATTTTATGATACTGTTAATCCTGAACCATTTCAGTGTACCCGCTACGAACTTAAAAGAGGAAATTTCAATATATACCCTAAAATAATTCTTATCTTCCTCACTAGGCTTATCTATCAAACCACTTGTCGGTTGACTACATCTAAGAATTACTGGCGGATGTTCAGGATGCACCCATGTTAACACCTATATAGCCAAATATAGCAAAGATTAGCTCAATAGTCAATTTAATACGAAGCAAATTCGATAGAATAAGTATAGTTTACAGGCAATCGATTCCTAGTACGGTGCTCCGCCACACTTTTAAGATTTTCTTCATTTGCCGCATCAGGAACTACAAGCTAAGGAAGATGAAATAATTTATTGTCAAAACATCAAGTGGTTGCAAATTTGTTAGCCCTTTGTACATACTACAATATATTAGAACAAACTACAGTATACTACTTAGACCATCTAGAGCGAACAAACCAGAGAGGGATATGAAGAGCAGAATTTATAATCATTATTGATATCAGTGGTTTTCCATAAGCCACGACGAGTCTGTTAAAAGATTCAGATATCATGTTTATTCTATTTCAACATTTAAGGCTAAAGTATCACACTTGATTTAAACACGTACCATTCTTTTATATTCTACTTGTGGGTCGAATATTTTCCATCCGGTACTTTCAAAATCGGGATAGTTTCCTTTAAATTTATAGGCAAAAAATTCCTAGGCGTGCCATGTGATGATCATTATAGTTTATTTTAGTTCAGTGGATAGAAAGGGTAGTAGGTCAATTGGGTACTTACATCTTTACGAGTCACGGGAAATGCATTAATCTATAAAGACCGTTTATTAAATAATACCAATATGCCCTTAGTTTGAGTAAACGGAATGCGTAGTAAAAGCAAGCTGTCGTTGTCAACATGCGGACAGCTATATCGAGAAAGTACTTCAATATACTAAAAGTAGACCAATCTGTCGATGTCAATACTAACCATAAGTGCGCTGTAGACAAGTCGACGTGAAGTAGCTTCTGCCTTGTGGGAAAATCGCAACACTCGCAAATCCTACAATTAATATTATCGTTATCAATTGATAATACGGTATGATTCTTTGGAGGTCGTTATTACATTTTCCTGCCAGAATAATTATGTATTATTTATAATACATACCTTACATACGATATCCAAATTATAAGAATTTTCGCGATTCTTTGTATAACTAACTTTCTTTACTTCTGCTATACAGCCCAAAGGAACTAAAAAATTGTGTTGAGCTAACGATGGTATAAATCTTGCCATCTATTATATATAGAATGGATAAGATGAAAAATTGGATGAATATTGGTGCCAATAATTCCGTAACATCATGCTTTATATTACACAAGTACAGTAAATTTATTAGAATTATCAATTACTACGTCTAAAATATGATTCTTTATAACAGAATGACTTGCATGAATGGCCATTTTTGCAAAATGATCCTTGATTCATTATATGTTACGAAGGAGTATCGATATCACTTGAAATATCGCAGAAAATGCAAACTAATACCCTGAGAACTAAGCGATATAGCCACCTGATGTAAGAAAAATTTTAATACTATGCAAATGGTTTGCACGATAATCAAGCAGACTACAGTTTACAAGAAAACTAAAGCATGTACAGTAACTAATATTTATGAATAACAGTACTGCAAAATGACTAGAACTAATACTGTCCGTTATCTTGCCATGCGATCGTACTGTTAGATACAAATATTTAAGAATAACAGTATTGCAAAATGATTAGAACTAATACTGTCAGTTACCTTGCCATGCCCCAGCATACTGTTTGTTACAAATGTGGATAATTAACCCCGACGTCTAATTGCTTATAAAAGTAGCTAGAACGCTGTAATTACAATCACACTGATGATATACAAGGGAAACGAGTTGAAGTTATTGTCAAATTAATTCATTTTCTCTTTCAATTTACTGACTACTTTTAATGATGATTTATGACGATAGAATGGGAATGACAGAATTTTAATAGGTACATCGACAGTAAAATTTGAAGCCCCTTTATTATCATATAGGACATGCTGAAATCGATGATATGTTGGAGTGAAATATTGTAGAACTTACCCCTTCATCTGCGCTGGTACATTTAAAGAATAATTTGTAGTTAGTAACGATAACATCGCCTTTCAGCCGACCAGCATAAGGGCATAAATAAGTCACGTCGCTCACTATCGAAAAAGAAAGCATACCATGATTACAACTTGGATATCCATAAATCACGATAAATATAAGTTAATACCTATATCTGGATGATACATCGATAGTATAATCTACAGCTCCTCATATAACTCCTTTATAACGTTATTACAAGGAGTTTTAGACTGTTATAGTACTAAGTAATGCTTAATTCTACCCTATTGCAACTCCAACTGCGTTCCTAGTACAGTATAGCTGTAGAGTCAATTAACGATAGACTGTAGGTACATAAGCTTCGACTATGACTAAATCATGAAAACAGTATAATATGTAAAGCAGCGAATAGTATATTATCAAACCATGAGCTTTGACTTCTTCTCCTTTCAAAAGCCACATTGCATCCGTTTTATCGAGATCAATGTCCTTAAAATATTCCTACATTAGGAGTAAAAAAATTCAGTGACTGCAGTCGCGCACTAGTCAGCAAGATCCTCATCATTGCAAATCATTTTATCATCATCTCTCTTTCTGGCTGTAATACGCCAATTTTAATATTTTAATATAGCGTTTTGAATCTCTATTATATGCATACTATTCACTAAGAAGTTTATGTCAAGGTACCACGAGTAAACTATTATCATTGCATGAAAACAACAAAATCAATCGTCCCACTACATGATTTATGATCGGCCTTGTCGTCTAAGATAGGCGAGACGTTACCATGGGCGTTTTTATTTCATATGGAATCCGTTATTACGTTAAGAAAGAAGGTTAATAACCCACATAGAATTGATTTTCAATCCATAATTAAAAACGGAATTAGACTGCAGGATAAGCGATCCCTACATTAACAAGCCTCGGATTAGAGAGCAGAGTGGACGATATTGTTTGATTGAAAATAGCTTGACTGCAGTAGTGCATGCCTCCATAACGTTGTCAAAACGTGCATGTCCAGAATAGTTCTATCTCAATATACGATTGATTTGATGCTGTAATCAACCTATCGATGCTATATCGTTATGGTTGAAGAGTAATTTTGATCGAGTCAATCTTTCTTCTCCTTTCCCTCCCTCTCCACTAAAACAGAAAAGAAATCATAGGAATATTTACCATCACTGGAAATTTGGATATTTTACCACTACTTTCTCCTTCTCGAGTAGGCGATGATGTCATTTCCTTCTCATCACTTCTCTTACTAGAAGTACTATCACCATTGGTAGTAGTTTCCAAAGGTGCTGCAGAAGTTCCACTAGCACTAGCAGCCGCAGTAGCAACAGTAACCGCTTGAACACTTGCCGTCACTTGATTGGCGATAATTTCACCAGCACTTGATCTTCTCGACGCCATATTTCTTTGTATCCGTTTTCGATGCCTCTAACTTGGATTCAATTTCTACCCTATCTAGTTTGAATATTATCCAAGACAATAACTCATTACAATGACAACATCATTCAGCCATAATTTGATCGCTCATGGACTAGATTAACTTACCAATAAAAGGAAAGAAGCCAAAAATAGTGGAAGAGAAATGGCGAGAAAAGATGGAGGTCGGCGATTCGATTTGGCCTAGCAAATGTTTCGATTATGAAAATAAAGGGAATTGACCAGGAACTCCAGCAAGGACTAGTAGCTAGTGGTAGGTCTCGACGTCTTAGCCACAAGTTAATAAGATTACTATAGGCTACACTTGAGTGTCTGAGACACAATACTCTCGTATGTTGACGACAACAAGCTTTTGATACAGCACGTCATTGTGCAGCTGCGCAGTGGGTACAGGTCTGAACCGGAAGTTTTCTCTTATAGCTCGACAAGGAACTACAAATTAACCAAAAATGACGTGTACTCCTCTTGGCCATCCAATCAATACAGCACTATAGAAATCATGGCAAGTCACATCCACTCAAATACAGTACTATAGAAATCACGGGAAGAACATGCAAGTTACTACGGTAATTTGCGAAATTCATCAAATACTGTCAAAATGCAATTATAAGTACAGTATGTATATTTATATATAGGTTAACATATATATATATATATATATATACTGTATATTTGGTCATCCACTCAATACAGTACTATAGACATCATGGGAAGAACATACAAGTCACATCCACTCAAATACAGTACTATAGAAATCACGGGAAGAACATGCAAGTTACTACGGTAATTTACGAAATTCATCAAATACTGTCAAAATGCAATTATAAGTACAGTATGTATATATATATATATTTGGTCATCCACTCAATACAGTACTATAGAAATCATGGCAAGAACATGCAAGTTACTACGGTAATTTGCGAAATTCATCAAATACTGTCAAAATGCAATTATAAGTACAGTATGTATATTTATATACATATATATATATATTTGGTCATCCACTCAATACAGTACTATAGAAATCATGGCAAGAACATGCAAGTCACATCCACTCAAATACAGTACTATAGAAATCACGGGAAGAACATGCAGTTACTACGGTAATTCGCGAAGTTCATCAAATACTGTCAAAATGCAATTATAAGTACAGTATGTATATTTATATACATTGTCATCCACTCAATACAGCACTATAGTAATCATGGGAAGAACAGGCAAGTTACATCCACTCAAATGTAGTACTATAGAAATCACAGGAAGGACATGCAAGTTACTACCGTAATTAGCGAAATTCATCGAATAGTGTCAAAATGTAATTATAAGTACTGTACAAGTGGACTGTACAGTATATATATTTATACATATTATATATATATACTTGGTCATCCACTCTTTACAGTCCTATAGAAATCACGGGAAGAACATGCAAGTTACCTCGGTAATTTGTGAAATCCATCAATTAGTATTAAAATGCAACCGTAAGTACAGTATATATGTTATATATACTTGGCCATCCACTCAAATACAGTGCTATAGAAATCACGGGAAGAACATGCAAGTTATTACGGTAATTTGCGAAATTCATCAAATACTGTCAAAATGCAATTATAAGTACAGTATGTGCATTTATATACATATATATATATATATATATATATATACTTGGTCATTCACTCAATACAGTACTATAGAAATCACGGGAAGAACATGCAAGTTACTACGGTAATTTGCGAAATCCATCAAATAGTCTTAAAATGCAACCGTAAGTACATCATATATATATTTATATATATATACCGTAACATATATATACTTGGCTATCCACTCAAATACAGTACTATAGAAATCACGGGAAGAACATACAAGTTACCACGGCAATTTGTGAAATTCATCAAACAGCGTCAAAATGCAATCATAATACAGTACTATAGAAATCATGGCCATCCACACAATACAGTACTATATAAATCACGTCAACAAGTTACATAACGTATTTTGATATTTTAATTAATATAATATGAGATTAGTAAATAAGTGTTACGTAAATATCTGATATAGTATATTACAAAATAAGTTAAAATGCAGATCATATTACACCTGATAGCCTTCATATTATATTCGAAACATTCTTTCAGGATATAGTAAGTACGCAACGGATTCAAATTGAACTCCGGTAATCGATTAAAAATTAATAACTATTTATTCATAAGCGACTGAAAGCACTGATATTTTCTCTGCATTATTTTACCTCCAAAATCTTTATTTTCGTTTTCACGTTCAACAACGACTTTTCACGAAGCTCTGTTATATTAGTCAATTTAATACTTGCTAATATGATTCATGACTAATCTAAACTATAAATTTAGATATTGACCTTGTAAATTGTTGCGATATAATTAAATAATACTGGATGTGACTAGTTTTTCATTAACATGTTTTTTCTGCTATTTCGCCCTTTTACAGATCGTATGGTCTAGTCATAAATATTGATAGGTGACACCTGTGAAGGACTTCTCTCCTTCCAATAATTTAGCATGCTGGCAGATATGGGTAAATAAATATTTGAATTTTCATATTGTTGTCTAAGATATTCAATATCGCTATCAGAAAGATCTAAATCCTTTACTAATCGAATCCATTCATCTCCAATAGTCAATTATAACAACTAAGCATTTTTATAACCATATTTTTCGAATGCTCTTTAATTGAATTAAAATTTGAACAGATATATCACTTGAGGTTGAATTTTTCCTCTACAGGACATTCTTTGCAAGATTATTTTATTACACTAATGGGTGCTAGAATCTTTGATAAGCTGAAACATCAATGTAGCTTGTGGCAACTTAGTATGCTACTTGTTAATAACACCCTTTATCAAAATAACTATACAGCGTACGTATGTCATATATTATATATAGTCGGATGATATAGTTATCATTTGGTTATAAGATTTTCTAACTAAATAATTTTAGACAAAATTCATGTAATTAACTATGCATGGCTACTTGAGATCCCTCACTTGCATTTGCATAATCTTTTATTTTTGCTTCGATTTGATCTGCCAAAGTATTGATATTCATCTTGCGTATTACCGAAACTACTTTAAAAATATCAGGTTTAGAACCAGCTTTTTCTTTCCACAACAATAGAGCTCGAATCGTCTTTTCGAAAGGAGTATGAAACTCAGGATTCAATCTAATTTCATCTATTTCTTGGATCGTTAAGCCCAATAACATTTCCAAACGGAATAATCTATCTTGATTAAGTTCAGCAGCTATGATATTGAAGCATAAGTCAAACATTCCTAAGTTAAAATAAAGTTGACAACATTAAGAAATTTTGCTCTTCAACGATTCAAGTTTGTAATATGATCTAAAATGAGTGAAACATTAGCCATAATGTTTCAACAATTTCATTTCATGATGATTTTAACTTTAACTCACAAGGTAGACTGTAACGCAATGGTTATTTTTGTTGTAACTAATACTGTCTATTAGTATACATAGTTTCATAATTTAATGCAATAACTCGCTTTAAATATAGTTAAATCAAATGACTAGAAACAGTGTCTTTTTAGCCATCGTTTTTGGCTGGAAAATTATGACATATTATTTTACTTGTATATTGCAGTTACTATTAAAAGAAAAGGTAGTGTAATATATTCTCAGTTAATTTTTAAAAATGCCAGTGAATATATTACCTTGTCTGCTAGACGTTAGCGCCGTTTGATGCTCTTCTTGGAATTGTTGTGATTGATCTTGATTATGAAAAATATCATTAACTAAATGCTTTCAATATTCATGACAGTAATTTTGAATAAATAGAAGCTACGCGATCAAAATTTGATCTGACGTTCGCCAATAACTTATCTTTGTACAGTGAATTGTTTCAGTTAATCAATAATAGAATTATCATCTGCCATTTTGGGGCTAATTAGTCTTGTTCTAGCTTCATATATACATTATACATTATTTACTGTGGGATTTGCTTATTAAAACAACTAGAATTTAAGATATACGAATATACTGTGAAATAAAGAATGGGTATACCATACACATTGAATGGCTATTTATGATCGGAAACCCAAAGATTTAATATAGATGCTATTTAACATAAGTTTACGTTGCTATGATTACATATTTTGTAAGTATGAAATCTTTTTAAAACCTAAATTTAAATCTTCATAGACATTTTATGTAATTAAAGTAATTTTATGAAAGAAATTCTTCTATTTGGACGCTTTTATATTATAAACTCGTTTGCAGTATAAAGAATTTAAAAATTAAGATAAATAAAACGAATTAATTTTAACTCGAAACTTTATCCTACCTGGTAATTTCTCCTGCTCAAAAATCTGCCACTCACGTACTGATTTCGATTGAAAGTAGATACAACACGCTGAACACTTGATAGCATCCGTCTTGCCGATTAAATGAGTAATCACTTTTGTTAACTTTTTACAAGCAGAGCACTTTACGTAAAATCGATATTTAGAAGATTTCAACTTTGGCATCCTGTCACTGACCACCTCTTTTAGCTTTTTCTTTATCATTATATGCGGTTTAATGTCGTAAATAAAACGTTTAACATTTTCCGCAACATCCTTGATTAAATCTTCCGCCGGGATCTTATAGCAAAATTGCAGGCCAATATAACAATCTATTTTCTTGATAATAATCTCACATGGATAATCTACTAAGTGATATTTTGCACATCGATGATAAATTTCTACTTGCGGATTGCTCCATATTTTTAAACATGCGGATAAATGGCAATGAAATATTCCCATCGGTATGTAAGACACTGAATCATATCCAATATATAACCAATCTGATTGGTAATAATCTGCCAGCTCTAGCTCAGTCGATGAACGTAGTAAATACGGTACAAAGTATTGACGTTCAGCCGTATTTCTATCATCGCAATTTTCACTCTCAATCTTACAGATGATGTGATAACTTTCCATTAATTGTAAAATAAACTCTTTCTCAGTTTTATTTAATTTAAATTCAGCTGTGGCGTAATTTAAACATAATTCTGGCATTTTACCAGTCTTATAAACCATTTCAAAGCAATCCTGTATTCCAGAATTCATAAATTTGCTTGTTTTATCACCAATTTTAATAATTGATTGAAATATTCTGAGTAACCAGTCAAGATTGGTTACAATCATTCCATCTAATCCTTTCTTCTTACAAAATACGATTTCGCCTATATCACGTAAATAGAGTAGCATACTACGTAATGTTGCATCGTCTTCATACAATCCGCAGTCTGTAGCTAGCTGTTTGATTTCATCAAAGGTCATAATGTTACGTATCCTACGTGCAATATCACCGAAAGGAGATTCCGATATAGCTGCACCAGCTTTCCTAGATTTAAAGTCGGTGGATGTATGTAATATTGATGCTAGAATATACCATCGAATAGGAATCGATTGTCGCATAAATTTTCGATTGGTGGCAAATTGTTTGATTAGCTCATGGAGATCTCGATTAGTGTTTTGACGTCGCTCAATGGCTGTTTGGGTATTATCTTCGCAATTGCAGTGAAATATGATGCCAGAACTGCATATATTATATTTATAGTCTGGCATAGCTTCGGTTAATGCTTTTGTAAATGTATGAAATTTTCGTTTGCGCTCCTCCTCATCTATTATCTGATCACCGTGTGATGCAATCAAAATCACAACTGGTAAATTATATTCTATTTCTATTCCGTTATGAGTTACGTTAACTTTATCTTGACCGTCATAACTGCCAATAATCGATGTAAGCCATTCTTGCATGGCCTGTCGATAAGTCATATTAATGGGTTTGTTATCTCGATCGATAATAGCATCATCAATATCGCGTAAGATATTAAATACTAAGATATAAAGACTATTTCCAGATAGAAATGGACGATGAGCCACATAGTAGATAGCCTGACCTCCCAAATCGGTCAATTTTCCATAGCGATCATCGGTGTCGCCTTCAATTTTGCCCTTTAAACCGGTCAGTGTTCGCATAAATTCTTCATAGATTACAATCTTGTCACCTGGCTTTGGCATTGAATCTCTCGTTGGCTCTATATCATTATTGGGAATAGCTGTAGATGAATTTAGATTGATATTTTTCGACATGCGATTTTTAACTAATTCCATTTTTGGCTCTTTTGCCGTAAATGTAACCATGTGGCTTCCATCTTCCTCTATTTTCCGCATGCTTTGGCAATTAATGACGGTCTCTTCATTATCGATTAGAATATCTGTTTGGTCTAATAAATAAGTTGAATTTTCTTCATCTTGAACATTCGAGTTATTAATATTCATTGTATTTTTTAACTGTTCGATTACTATCAAGACCTTTTTATGTAATATCATTCGAAAATCAGCTTCTGTCTTATCAAACATATTAAATATGATCAGATTTGACAATTTCTTAACTTCGTCCGCAATAATAGTTTCGCTAGTAAAAGTGATATATCCATTATTTATGAATGCACTTATAATAGATGTTTTACCAACATTTTCAGGACCAGCAATAACAATTTTGGTAAAATCATTGCGACACTTTCCGATTTTCAACGCCTTGTCATAAGCCGATAAATATTCTTTATTATCTATAGCTAGCGATAAAAAGATGTTGGCAGAATTATGAATTAGATAAGCTTGAGAAATACTCTGCTATTAGCCAGTATCAATTAACATTGTAAATTTAATTCTTAAGCTATTTCTAGCGAGTTATTTTACATAACATTGCCAATATTGCAATACATTATCGTAGGATTAGTATATAATATCTTCATTATCTTACTTTTAGAATCTTCATCATTTTCTCCATCAAAATTTGCAATGATGTTTTCAAGACTAAGATCTATTTTAATGAATCCATAATGAACAAGGTTATTATTACGACTTATACGAATTAGAAATTAAAATATTTACCTAGTAGAATTTCCGCAACGTAATTGGATAATAGTGAATTTGATTGATTTTGAAGTAACATTTCATATAGAATATCTGCTGTTTCTTTCCTTTTTAGACGGTAGAGACTGGCTATTAATGTTGAAAGGGAATACTGTGAAAGAATTCTCTCCTGCAAATAATTTAGGTTTTGAACGGAAATAGCCAAAAGGGATTGATGACTTGAATTTTCGTCCTGTCGGTCAAGATTCCCAGTATCATCAACTGAAAGGCCTAAATACCTTGCTAATTGAAACCATCCATCTGCAATTTTATTTTTAATGACGGAATAACATTTGTCTAATGGATAAATAAAATTAGCTTCTAAATATTAGATAACGGCCAAATGAATAAACCTACATAGTTTATTGAATTAGGATTCCCTTAGCAAAATTGCTTATAAAAACCATTCATATACTTTTATAACTAGTCGCACTAATTTTTACGGTGTGAAGATAAAAAAAATTGACAGCAACAATAATGTATACTAATATTGAAAGGCTATTAACATTGTAAGTAGCCTAGTAGAACTAACCAACAAATTCCTTTATTGCTTTATCTTCATTTTTCATGCTTACGGAACTTGCACCACTTGTTGCTCTATATTCGTTATATTCTGCGCCTACAGTATACGTACAATATTAGAACAAACTTAAGTAACATTTGCTTACTATAATAGTTTACTCTAATATTTTTTAACTAAAAATTAATGAAATTGTAGCATAATTATCAAAATTAGCAAATACACTAGTGGATACCAATACGAAAGGATCATCCTATGGATGGGAAGGATTTTGATAACACAAAGTTACTGTAATATCACTCTTATTTGAATAAATGATTGTTTAATGTACTAATAATGCCTAATGCAACATTTTATATATGTACAGTATATGTTGAATTCTTTGCATAATAATTAAACTAAGAACCAACCAATAAAACCTATCGCTCTTTAATTACTGAAACACTTTGCCAATCAATTAATATGGATACTCTGCGCAATATTATTGTTATATTCATGTTATAGTGTTTACTGCTGATATAATAACTAACATTAGTCTTAATTGTTAAGATTTAGATATGACTGCTTATTTAATGTAATTATCGATATTTAGTAACTTATAATAAATATGAGTACGTAATAAAAAACAGTATTTAAGGCTGTGCAAGCTAAGCACGAGAGAGAGTTATTACGAAGAGTTGTAGATTAGATCGGATCTTGTTACTCGTTGGTAAGATATCGCTATTAATTTAGTTTTGTTCAATTACTCGTTGGTAACTTCTATTTTATAACTAATAAATTGTATATAGCCAAATGTAGATTCTGTTTTTATTATTTATTACCAGATCCCAACAATTATAAAATGTAAAGAGCTCTTAAAACGATCGATCATGTTTTTATTTTTAAGCCTGCGTATATATAATTAAGTAAATAGATCTGGATGGAAGATTATCTTGTTGACAACTAGAAAAGAAGTAGTGCAATCAATGCCATACTGGTACGCAATCTTACAATATATGTGGTTTTTGTTAATTCTTTTTTTGTCTTGCATACTGAGTTATATTTTTACATATTAAATCATTTTCGTTGTCTATGCACAAAAACACTTTATGAAGGTATTGGATAGCGGACAAATTACGATTTTGCATACAAATACAGAAATTACCTTCTGATGTTGATGTAGAAAGATTGATAATGAGTGACTGATTGATTTTGTCATTTTGTATAGGAAGGTGAATCATTTTTGATGTTTGTGGTATAGCAGCGGCCTTTCTGTTTTTTTGTTTTTGATTATTACATTGAGTAATTTTTTCTTTAGCCCTGGCAATTTGAGGGTGACTTTCTCCATAAAGATTGCTTAGGCTAGTGATAGATTTTTCATAGAATAAGATTGCTTGATCATAATTAGATTTTCGATAATGGACATGTGCTTGATTTCGAAAGGAAAGCGCTGTATTAGGATGATTGTTACCTAGGGTTTTCAAGTAGACTTGCGATGCCTTGTCATACATAGATAGCGCCTCATCGTATTTCTTTTGCTTATCATAGACGAACCCAATATTGTTATACGTTGTAGCAATACTTGGATGATTTTCATCAAGCTGTGACTTTTTAATCTCTAGTGATTTGTTATACATTGATAGAGCATCATCATACTTGCTTTGATTCAAATAGACACTTGCAATGTTGCCATATGTTGTAGCAATACTTGGATGACAGTCGCCAAGTTGTTTTAGTTCAATCTCCAGCGATTTGTTATACATTGATATAGCATCATTATACTTGCCTTGATGATCATAGATTTGCCCAGTGTTACTATATGTTGTAGCAACACTTGGATGATTATCACCAAGTTTTTCTAGTTGAACTTCTAGTGCTTTGCTATTCATTGATAGAGCATCATCATACTTGCCTTGCTTAATATAAATATTTGCAATGTTACCATATAATGCAGCAGTATCTGGATGCTTGGCGTCAATTTTCCGGTTAATCTCCAACGATTTAAGATACATGTCCAAAGCCTTATCATATTTACCTTGGTCAAAGTAGGCTACGCCAATTTTACAATATGACTCGCTGACATTAACATGCTCTTTTTCTAGAAATTCTAATTTCATTTCAAGCGATTTGTTATAATCACTCAAAGCGCCAATCAGATCACCTTGTAATCGTTTAATATCCCCGTGGTTATCTAAGCATTGAGAAATTCTCTTTTGATCTTTTATTTCCTTGGCTAATTTCTCTGCTTTTCCTCTCCATTTGTTTGCTTCTATTAGTTCACTTTTTTCCCGAAAAGAATTAGCCATATCAAGATAAATATCACATTCAAGTCGAACATGATCCTGGCTAATTTTCGGTATAGATTCAATTTGAATTGCAGCCTGTTGATAATAACTTAATGCGAGCTTATAACTGCCTTTCTTATGACATTTTCTACCACTTTCGTGTTTAAATTGAATTTCCTTGAAGCTAGTCGATTTGGAAGTCCAAATGCCCATATTACACTTTTCAGCAACAACAAAGCAGGTAGTTTAAGAAAATAGTTACAAATTCTTCGCTTGCTACTAGCTTCCAATTTTGATATTTGTACGAAAATTAATATTATAGAGATATTATACCATCTGAAATGGATATTTCTTCCGCATTCGATCAAGACTTCAACGTCTATTTCAGTTAATAACCTACACCAATCCTCAAAATTAGGTACGCCTTCGTTCGTTAACGGTCATTAATTATTCGTCAATTATTCGTCAACTATTCTTTTACAATTAATAGAGACAAAATAAACTAAATTGCCCAGACCCTCTTATCAACTCTTCTATTTATTCTCTTTTTTACTTTAATAATGTAAGGAATTAGTGATTATAATAATAATTGAAAATGATCATTACCATAATACTGGCACTGAAATAAATGAATCGCTTCGCATAAGATAAATAGACGATCAACAAAGGTAAACAAAAGGAGATCGTTATCATATAATATAATATAATTCATTTCTTTCATGCAAATAATGGATAAATTAATTTGCATACTTGATAGACTTTCGTTGCAAATTACTACTGCGCTCTACTCAAATTTTATGGATCGCCAGCAGCTTTTAAGTACAGTATTTCCCATCGTTGCCTTGTAGCAATGCCAATTAAGACTATTTCATTATTGATTTTCTTGATCGCTAGTCAACTTGTTTGATTCGAGTTCATGCTTCAGATTTGTAAAAGAATAAAGAAATAAAGTGTGTTAAAATAAACTTAGAGGATTATTTTCTCCATTACAGTAAGACTGAAATGTCTATTCGCATAGAAAATAACGGTATGAGTCTTGCAAAGTACTGTATCTTAGGGTTAATGACTGATTGATTTATGGTATCTTGTTGTAAAGGGTGATGAATGATTTTGGAGGCTTGTGGTATAGCCGCAGCCTTCTCAATTTCTTATAGTTGATGGTGACATTGAACAATTTGTTTTTCATCTTTGACAATTTGAGGGTGATTTTCTCCATAGAGATGGCGAAGGCTATTGATGGACTTTTGATAGAACGAGATTGCTTGACGATAATTAGATTGCTGATAGTTGACTTGAGCTTGATTTCGAAAGGAAAGTGCCGTATCAGGATGATTTTCGCCTAGTGTTGCTAAGCGAATTCGAACAGATTTCTTATACATGGATAGTGCATCGTTGAAGTTGTCTAGCTTATAATATGTAAGTCCAATGTTACATGTTGTAGCAATTCTTGGATGATTATCACCAAGTTGCGCTTGTTCAACTTTCAGCGATTCCTTGTATACTGATAGTGCGTCATCATATTTGCCTAGATAATAATAAACTAGCCCAATTCCATTGTATACTGTTGCAATACTTGGATGATTATTGCCAAGATGGGCTAATTTAATTTTGAGTGATTTGTTATACATAGATAGGGCCTCATCATACTTGCCTTGCTTACTATAAACAAGTCCGATGTTGCCATATAATGTAGCAATTTCGAGATGATCATCACCAAGTTGTTCTAGTTTAATCTGCAATAATTTATTGTAACTATTAGAGCGTCATCATATTTGCCTTGTTCCTCATAGCCACTTCGTCTAGCAGTTTCTTACTTAATATGTCAGCTATTTCTCTCCGAAGACTAGCTTTCATCAATTCATTTTCTTTTAGATAACAGTTAGCCATGTCGAGATAAAGATCATATTCAAGATAAAGACGACTCTCGCTGCTCTCTTGTATCGATTGGATTTGAGTTGCAGCTTGTTGATAATAAAATAATGTGCGTTCATAATAGCTTTTCTTAGCAAATTTTACGCCCGTTTCGTATACAGATTTAATTTCGTCAAGGGTAGTCGATTTGATACTTTGATCGTCCATATTTCACATTGGAGCTGTACTGAAGTGTCACGAAGCAGCCTTTGTGAACAGACCAAAACTTTACTATCTACTCTAAGTTGATCTTAGTTTAACTCTCAAAGACCCACAAAGGAGGAAACTAACCTATTGCAGTATTTACTGCTAGCAAAAGATAAATGGTAGCGTTTACAGGCAAGGTATTTATTGAGCCAGATAACGAAGTAGCGCAGTGTTCTTTACTACAACCTGATTGAGACTCTCTTTAAAAGTAAGATATCCAGCCTTTTATATAGTTCTATGATTTTATACCGTGCACACTTGTGCCAATGATCACAGCACATGAAGCGAGCTCCGTAACATGAAGATATGTAGTTTCGGAAAAAGTAGTCATAAATTCTCGATTAGATATAGTTGGTAAAATTGATAGTTATCGGAATGTGTAATGAAATAGATGTATAGTATCATGAATGGATGTCTTATATTTTAGAGCAAGATTATAAAAGTCAATCGGCGAGATTGGATAAGCTTGCATTAGTTAACCTTCATCAGTCTTTCGTAAATAATACTACTAAAATAAATAGAGGTGAAGTAAATTAAACTGCACAAGTGTCCTTATCAAGACTTCTTTCTTTCTATCTGCTGACTAATATCAATAATTAATTGAAGTCATGCATGATCACAACTAAAAGTCAGATAATAGCCTAATATTGCCATTCAAATGTTTTTGGTTTAGAATAAAATGAAGATTGGCGTTAACATAAGTAAAATATTATCGTTACAATGGCATCCATGCATATTAATAACAATGATAAACCAAATAGAGATCTCGCTCAATTTGTATACTGTAGCTATAAATTAGCACGGTGTTCGACTCAAATTGAGAAGGAGCACCTGTTGCTTTCGACTACTTGCCGTTGTCACCTTGTAAGAATAGTAAGCTAAACTATTTCATCAGTTGCTTTCATGGCGGATAGTCTACTTGATAAATTACATACTGCGTTGATCTATTGCTCATGTTTTCACACTTGTATAGGGTGAAGAGATACAGTAAAATGATTAAAGAGATTTAATAGATTTATAAAATTATTTTCTGCTTTACATCAGGGTTGCAAAGTCTATATTCTAATTAGATAGGAATTACTTGAATTTTATTTTAATGATCCATGAAATTGCCAATAAAATTTTTTCAGCTTACAGGGAAGTAACGAAAAATTGTTTATATTAGAAAGAAATTCGTACATACATTTCACTGTTAACAAATACTTAAATAGTGTATTGAGGTCAATGGCTCTTGATTAAAAGAACACATCCCAAACTACTATCAAGTTATTTTTATTTATTACTTACTAATACTGCAAACCATAGCTAACCGAAAATCGTAATAAAACTACCGAAATCACTCTAACAATAAAATGAATATATTCTATTCCACTAACTACCAATACTATCAAACATATAATATAGGTGTAATTTCACTTAAAATGATTTTATCGAAATTATAAATCAACAGTGTACACCAGATCTGTTCCAATGACAAGTTTTTGGCTACCCATAACTAAGACCAATTCGCCGCTTTCTCTATAGAAAGTAGCACCGTCAGCAATTAATATTTTGCCTTCTAGAGGACGTGATAAATTAGGCATCCTTCTAGAACCACCAACTGCATCGTTATAATAATACAGTTTAATTTTGTCCGTAGATTCTATTAATAGGGAAAACGGTAATGTACATCATCTTAGCATACGATCGCCGGTAAGGCATAATTCGATAGTATTATGATTAACAAGTGTACCTTTAGTTTCAGTAGATATACGACTGATAACATCATTTATAGACTCCTTATCACGAATATCGGCGTAAAATGAAAAATACGGTTTGCAGACTTGCGGATTAATAAATTGCACAGTAACCTAGTATAAGATAGTCGTGGATTTAAGTATAGTAAGGATTACATGTTATATCATACGAGTGCCAATTATAAAAATTTTATATCTATATACCGCTTCAAAGAAAACAGAGTACGGCCTCCCAGGCACACTGGTGTCGCGCACTTTACTATCGCTGGCATCATTCACTAATTTTATTTCTAATCCCGTCAGCTGCATTGCAACAAATTTAACAACATCAGTTAAAATCAAAGGCCTTAACCCAACATTACTGCACGATAAGGCACTTATAACATTTCTATGCAAATGTCATCAACTTGCCTCTAATGACTTTCTAAGGTAATTTATATTTTCCTTAAGTATAGCGACTTCATCAAAGGGCATCTTAGTATCTAACGCCTGGACTCCTTCTTTAGCAACACTTTCCTACAGCAGGCGTCGCAATTACAAAACAATCAGTTTTTGGATAACTTGACAAGCTATACTAGGAAACTATAATACCTTTAAGAATTGCACAAACGGCATCAATTTTTTCATATTTTTAGCAACAACTGGATCACCCTTAAATTTAGCTAAGACTGTTTTATTTTCTGGGAAGGTGTTTTCATTCTATAATCATTAATGAGACATAATAAACAAAATTATTCTACAATTAGACTTTAAAATATTTTATCTATAACATAAAACCTACCTTCTCGTATTCTATCTTTAAAAATTTTAATATTAGTTCTTGCCAAGCAGGATATGTTTGTGCAACGAAAAGAGTTCCATGTGTTGGCTTAGCAGTTGCTTTAGCTGCCTGCTTACCTTTCTAATGATTACGTAATATCAGCATATAAGTAAGCTAATATCTATTGCACCTCCTAGAATTTAAACGAAACCAAAAATATTTAAATAACAATTTACCTTCAGTGCCAAAGCAGTTTGATTCTTGATTCGTAAACGGAAATCATGTGCACCGTTCATAAGATAGTCAGAAGCCCGCAATAAAATTTTATCTACAGGCCCAGCAGTAGGCCAAGCTGCGGACATAATACTACCCTTCTATATAAAATAAATACGTGATTTCAATTAGAAGTACTGTCTACCTTTGTTAAAGTAGCCAAAATTTTGACTTTTACGAAAAACTAATGGAAATCGAACTACAAACCTTCCCAATCAACGCCCAAACATGTTCACATAAGTGAGGGCATATAGGAGCCAATAAAAGAATTTGCACCTTAATAAATAATAAGGAACAAAATGTCAATCAACTGGATACTTAGAATCATGGGTAATAGCGTTAATTTGGGTTGCTTGTTCTACTTCGACTATATTTCATTAAAATATTCAAAATCCTCACCTCAATAAATCTAAATATCATATCTTTATGCATTCCTTCCACTGCAACTTCTCTGTATTTATCCCTAAAAGACTGTGAAGAAGAATAAATACTATAGTTTAACAGTCTACCGTAAAAAAATACGAATGACTGAAAAATTAATGCCTTATTTGAAAAAGATATACCTGCAACTCGTAAAAGCCTGTCTTGAGAGCCTCTCGAAATTGCATTTGCTCATAATTGCGATCAGTCTGAATTATCGCGCTATTTATTTCACTATAATGGTGATAAATGTGAACGCAATAGTATCAACTTTTCTATAAGTTTAGGTTAAAATCATTTTAAACGAATGTCCGATATAACCTTGCAAAGACTTTATCGTTAAAGGTATCCATTGGCCCAGTCCTTAATTCATTCTGTTTTGCTAGTTCGAGCATATCCTAACAATATAAATCAGCACAAATGTAAGCACTACACTTTATATTATGTCAGCTAAAAAAAATCATACCTTTGTCCATTCTAGGAACGTATATAATCTCAAAATGCCACCATCGGCCATTTTTTCAACAAAATTTGCGTCTTCAACGCTATCACCAGCATCTGCAAGAGCAAGTCTCATTCCTACAATTAATGAGATAGCATAAAATTTAACGAGAAAGCAATGGTACTAGATCTAAGAATAGCAATAAATAAAATTATCTACTAAGCGCATACCATCGGCGGAAAATCTGTCAACGCTTTCAAATAAAGTTAAAAAATTCCCAGTTTGCTTCGACATCTGTAAGTAAAATGAATAGGCTTAATATACAATGCGCATGTGGATATTATCAAAAAACACTGCATATATGTCTTAAGGAATTACCTTTTCCGAATTTAGCAATAAATGCCCATTAATTCGTAGATTACCGGGCCAACTTTTAGATACCAAAAATGATACATTAGTATTACAAACAATGTTATTGATCAGAAAAGTAAAGAATCACTAATTAATATAATGAATTGCTAGTTTACCGATGAGGTTCATCAGGCCATATTGCCACGTGATTGAACAGTAAATATGTCAAATGATTGGGTAATAGGTCTTTACCGGAAGATCTTAAATCAAATCCGTACCAGTACTGAAATTCCTGCTTTAATTTCCTATGTAACAGCATTATCATTTTTGTGAATTAATCATCAGAAAAACTCCAGGGCCATTCATTCAAATAGTATTTTATACAGTTTCTTAACATAGACAGATAAAACAACATGTGTACATACTTCAAACTATCTAGAGGAATGTCGGTTTGCGGTACTTCCGCATTATCATGAAATATATAATCCCAGATCTCAGGAGTCATTTGATCAGCCCTATCACAAATTTTAATATATGGAATTACAACATCAAATCGTTCAAGTATACAGATTATTTAATATCAAGTTGATATAACATACTTTATATTTAGTGGGCTTTCACCGGATCCATCAAAGACACCGCCTTGCAGCAAATGACAAACCGTATAAAATGCCATGTAAATAGTGGAATCAGATAATGATTCGATTAAATATTGCTGATCACACGGAAGTAAAGTTCCAAGGCCGTACGATCGCGAGCATGCATATTCATGTAATTCAGTAATGGTGCGTTCAAACCCCTTGCGAGAATTTTCGGGATAGCTATACATAAGTAAACGTATAGACAATTAATTTAATATCGATAACTATACGTGCTACTTGAAAATATTTAATAAATTTAGATTAACTCTTACGTATTAACTCGCTCAAGGCATTTGCGAGCTAAAGCTTTCCAGGAATCATCGCCATAGTCTAAATACCTATTGTTGATAATTATTTCTTTAAGATATTCTCCATCATTGAAATAGTTGAAGTTGTTTAACTTACCATTGATCACATAACGCCATGACACATTCATCCCCTGATCGTGACATTACTTTCTTCTCCGTTTCCATGTATATTACTGCTCCATTCTGATATATTTAATTATAAGTATTAGCTAATGATACGCAAAGTTTAGGAAACCTTTTTCACAATACTGCCATTTCAATCAAAATTTATTAACCGTATCGACTAGTAATTTCTGTATCTTTTTCTTAATGTCTTGAACTTTTTGTCCTTTGAAATCACCAACTAACATTACCTAAGTATTAAGAGGAGTTAGGAATAAAGTATCTTCTATGAAAGAATATTCACCAATTACATTATCGTCCGTTCATCAGAGTAGATAATTAACCAAAATTAATTCCTTAATCTTATTTAGCATTTATGTTACTTTTTTACCCCATGATAAAATCCGCCAAGATATGTCATTTCCTTGGCCTTCGCTAACTTCTCCTTATCATTTTGGCTAGTAATTTTTAATTTTTCATACGCAGCAACAGCACTTAAATCACCGAACTCAGGGACGTTCATAATGGGAACCTAAAGTGTTATAATGGTTAACAAATAGTTTACAGTAATTGCCTAATAATAGTAATTGATAACCAATAAACATCATCTCTTACGGGATCAAATGGGAGTACTTTATCATCCGATAAATTGAATTTAGCCCTAAGATCCTATATATTAATTCAAGAGTAAAATCTTTGTTGAATACACAGATGTATTCCTTTAAAAGCTATTTTTAATAGGGTGCATTAATCTGAATGCATTCGTTAAATGTGTATGCACACTGTATGTTATGGATATATATTCCATTCCTGAATACGGTAATAGTAAATAAAATCAAAATTAAGAATTTTAAACGACAATAGCATTGTTGTCTTACTTTTTTTCTCTTGATATCGCAAAGAGCAGCGTAATCATCAGTTGAATCTGACGGAACAGATGTTACAATTCCAGTACCTATACCAAAAGATATCCAAAGGCTGTTAAATTGCCTTACGAAATATGATTACTAAAGATACCATTTCCGCTGACCTTTTCCTTCTAGAATGGTAAACATTGGCCAAGCATAAACTTTCTCATATGAAGACAACGGAGCCTTCAATCCAGCGCCGATAAGGTCCTATATGTTGACACAGAGTATTTATCTTAGGCTTTGTTTAGTCTACAACAGTAAATGTATAAGATTTTTATTAGCAGCACTTACCTCTCCAATTAATTTTTCAACAACATCAATTACTCCTTCTTCTGGGGTAAACCCTTGATAGGAAATGTTTCTGGCAGCGCGATGGGTGGATACGTAAATTTCGTCGTTATTAACACGGTAAGCTATATACTAGATAGATTAAAAGTATAAAAAGTTAGACTTAAAGAATGCAATATAAATACCTATCCACTGCTAATGTAGTACATGTGCCAACTACACAGTGCTGCATACAAGCACGTAAATCAACATGTTACGCTACTTGTATCTATTGTATAAATCAATACATAGCATTGCCAATTCGTTTCATTAAGCAGTATCCAGAATTTTTAATCTTTGTCAACTTTTCAAGTGTTGCTTGCTTTATGGCAATCAATACTTACCTCCATATCTGGCCTAACCCAGCAATTTGTCTGGCCATACATTGTTTCCGGTCTCAAAGTTGCTGCGATAAAAAAAACTGGCTTGTCTATAAGTTTCCTATTGATTAAATTAAATTTATATTACGACACCAATTGCATCAGTAAATACTATTCATAAATGTCTTTTGCGTACCTTAATTTTTCATTTTCACTGCTAACTACCTTCATCTTAATTAACGTATATTCTTGTCCGCCAACATTCTATAGAAATTATATAATATCTGTAAATGAAATTATGCATAAACATGGCAATCGCTTGCAACCTGAGAATAAACTTTTAAGTATGTAAACAGGATCGATCAATTATTTTGCTAAGATATTCTACAACAGTCAATCATAAAGAATTCGGTATTATTACCTCTCCACTAGCGCGATCATGATCCATACAAGGTTGACCATCCTTGGGTGAATATACTGTGTATCTGTTTTTGTTAAAATAATAGTAGACTTAGCAAGGAATACCGAATAAATTTCATAATATATATCTCGTTTCAAACTTTTTCATGTCAAGATCCTACTCAGCAATATAGACAAAGATCATTAAACCTCTTTCCAAATTTCACTTTTCCTTGCTCTTTCAGTCTTATAAATTGCCAACGAACAAACGAATTATAATATGGATTAGCATCAGTCGTTATAAAACTCCTTCTCCAGTCGACCTAAATTTTAAATTGCACGATCGTGTCTTAATTTAGTAACACTAGGCAACCAGTACCTCGAATTAACCGTTATCATTACCAACCTTTAAGCCCATATTTTTTAAATCTTTCTTGGCTAAAGGAGGGAAATAGCCTAGCCAATGTTTGGGATCAGCAAATCTATAAAGATACAGAGTTTCGATTAACGATCATGAAACAACTTTCACTTTACAGTAAATTAAAGTGAAGTACTTTTTAATCTCTTCATCCTTTAAACCTAAAGATCGCATAATTTCCCATTGGAATTTAGCCCCTCCAGTTTTGGCCAAGACTTTCGATTTACCCTATGTAAGCAAATATAAATTCATCTTACACGATTGTCAAACGTAATCATGGAATTAATACAAGATCAATAGCTTGTATTTTACCTTTTTCTTGCGTTCTCCAACTTCAGCGGGATTAAATTCTTTCTTACTTTCTTCTTTATCGTTCGCAGAAGATTCGTTACGACCAGGGAATACAGGCGGATAGCCGAATGTTTCCATTTCGTATTTTAATTTATCAGCCGATGCCTTGAATAAGGTTTAAATGTAACGTCGTCAATTTATCAAGGATGCCGCAATATTTTAGAATAAGTTGTCATATACCTTGATAGGCATTCCAGTACAATGTAGTCCAAACGGAAATAGACATCTTTTGCCTTTAAGACGTTGATAGCCAGAAATGAACTGTTATGAAATAAATTGACACTTTTTAATTTTTTAAATACGCCTATTACACAGTACTGAATTTGCCAATACTGTTGGCATCATACCACTAAATTTAGCTACGAAAAGATGCACTGACCTCATTCTAAAAGTATAGCCATCGTGTGACATAATTTTGGATTAAAATCGATGCCAAGGTAACGCATTTAATTCGAAATAAAAGTTAATAACTAGATTAGTTGTATATCATGTTTCGTAATTATTTATGAAGGAGTGATGATTCGCGAGAGGCTATGATAACGTAAATTAATTCATCATCACTATTATTATATTCTTTTTTTGTCTACCTTTGATATGGAGAAAGTATGGCCAAGATGTAATCTCCCATTCATGTAGGGGTATGGAAAGCAAGTGAAATATCGAGGTTGGCTATTTAATGAGGCATAGTAGGCGTTAATATACGTATGAAGAGCGTAAATGATTAATGATACAAAAGCAACTTTTCGATTAAAAAGGAAATAGTAAGCAAGAAATATCGAAATTTGATCGATACTGTCGTAAATACATATGAATAGATGCGTTTACAGCTAAATTATTATCATGAGTAGTAGTAAGCTTACTTCCAGTCTTCACTGTCGCGCTAGATAAAGAGAGAAAATGTTTAATTTTTTATTATGATGCTTTATATTGATTGAAAATACAGCTACTTATTTTTGCAATAATAGATATTTATCAAAAGTTTGATCTATATTATTTATCGCATAAAGAAAGACAAGAATGCCAATTATCATATTGCACTTACATCAGGCGCGTCTACTTCGAAGGTTTTTTCACGCTCCCATTTGGCCTGAATCTCAATTTCGATAGCACGTAAGGTATTGACTTTAGTCGTTCCTTTACGACTTTCTTGGATTGTTGTCTAACAGGGAAACATAAACCAGTCATTCTCTACCATCAAACAACATTTACAATATCATTCATCATGCACATAGCAAATTCCATGATAAAAATAGCAATGATAAAGCCAGTATCCACTGCTGCTAGCTAATGCATAATGTATTGCACGATTGTATCAATCATTCCGCCATTCGATCAGTATCTCTAGGAACTCTTAGAAGAGTTGCATCATCACGATTTTAATTCAAATACCATTCACCCTTATGGCAACATCATCGATACCATTTCGGAAATCACTCTTAATTACCATAAATGAATTTTGAATAGCTACCGAACGTTGTTCTAATGACTGCATATGGAGTTAGTGATCAAACTAGTCAGCAAAAATACATGGCTATGGTAGGCTACAACTAAACAGAGAATCACTAAACGTTGTAGCATTGCAAAGCATAGCATATCATGTCGAAAAGAAATAGAATTGGCGAAACAGGAATGAATGGAGAATCAATCGTAAAGTAATTACAGTAACTTGGATGATATTTTGCATCCATTCCTTGACATGTTAATCATTGTTGTTATTATAAACATGACATCAGGCATAGACTAGCGAAATACTAGACGTGAGACATTAAGCACGTAGAAGAGAATTTACTGCACGATGGTAACCATGACGAAAGAGAATTCAGATTGGTAAAACAGAACCGATTGGCGAACCGATGTAAGACAATTACAGTCACTTGAATGGCATTTTAGCATCCATTTCTCGATTAATAGTATGGTATAATCCTCTATTCATAAAACTTGTAAAAGAGCAGAACATGACATCGAGAAGAGTATTCAATTGTGGATTATGTATGATAGATGAGAATGGAGATTGATGGACTGGAGATGAATAGACAATCGACACTTGCATGGAGGACTAGAATGATTTTGCATCATGTCCTTGATGTAGTCAGTCATAATGCTACGCTGTATAATTAATTTATAAAATATCCGATGAAAAAGAGCCTCCTTGGACTACACGTTTCATTGCTATATAACACGCAGAAGAGTATTTATTTATTGTCAGCATGGTCATGGAGACATGGAATTACTAAAGCAGAACTTCATCAAATAACTAGAATGGTATCTTGGATCCATCCCTTGGTTTGTTCACCATTATCATAGTATGGTATAATCACGATATTGAATATCAAATGAAGAATAGGACTATTTGATGGCATGATAAAGTAATGATCCAACAAAAGCAAGAGCAATTGCAAAGGAAAGAAGATTGATTGAGAAGGACTGATTGGAGAAATGGTGTTTAAGCAAAACTCAGGACGGTTACTTGGCTGTACTCTTGCAACCATTGCTTGACTTGTCCGCCATGATAATCGTGTAATAAGACATCCAATGAAGAGTAATAAAATGGAATAACATGATCCATGAGTGGTACAACATATAGGTGAGTGTTGATGAAAAATAGAAGCGGAAAAATGAGATCAATTCGAGAAGATTAAGCATGGCTTACCGTCATGATGGATGGAGGAAAATGGAGTCCAGGCACATGGATACCACTGCGCATGCGACATGCATTTTCCAGGTAGTTAATTTCCGTGAAGCCAAAAAGAGAAAGTGTGCAAAATGAGCTGTCATGTTACCTCAGCCCATATCCTAAACAGAGCGTCAATATTCATACATAATACTGTAGATAAAATCGGATTTGTTATCACTATACGAACTCGATATGGACACTATTCTGCACATTGTTTCTACTACCTATTGCGCAATACTGATTGTCTATAATCCATCGCTGTTGCGCCTAGTGTAGTTCCAACTTGAGCACTTTAATACAGGTTACTGACTAGATTAAGCGGCATGTTTGCGTTGCTTATCGACGGATCAATCGCTCTATCCCTTTGCCAACTCGCAATTGCTATCATTGCAGTGTAATCCATTTATGCTAAAGGAATGTTTGCTACAGTAGACTGAAAGCGTTCAACACTGTCCTTCTCTGTTCCTGAGCATAAACTATGGCCAAAATTCGAATATTTCTTCATATAGCCTACTAATGAAGCTAAACTCTATATTTGCATTAGTTTGGAGGACTTTCAGGTAGTTTTATAACAGCAATATTTTCATACAGCTTTTTGACTAGACCAAATGATCTACTTGCGTTAGTGGGGTATGGTTATACCGCGATTGGCTAGCTCGATGGATAGCTTGCTCATCGATTGTTGTATGGAAGAGTCGTATTTCCTTATAGGTTACTGACTAGACTTGATGGCATGTTTGCGTTAGTAGAGTATATATACGAAACTGAGGAGCAACTAAGTTAATCCCTTGCACATCTAGATTGACCTCCATGATTGCAGTATAAAGCACTGATTGCTATGGAGTGTTTGGTATAGTAGGTTAAAAGCATCCATCTTGCTTCTTCCCAGTTCCTCTCCGCCATGTTCCAGCTGACTGGATGCCATCGTTGATTCTGTGAAATTCGCTCTTTTACACGCTTTCTTTTTGCAATAATTAGTTTAGGAAGTATCTAAAAGGCTTGTTTCCAGTTCTTCTTGTTATGGTTAGTCAGGATGAGCCATTTCGATGAGAAAACGCAAATTGTCAGCAGTAAAACCGAGTGGGGATTATGGTACCAAACCATCGATGAAGTTTTCATTGAAATCAATCTTCCACCAGGTACTAAAGGAAAAGATGTTGCCTGCAAATTGACCGCTACAGATATTCAAGTTGCAGTCCAAGATCAAGTTTATATCGAGGTATGGAATAGATTGATTTTATTGGTAGGCTGTAAGCTACATATTGGGTTGGATTAGAATTAAAATGGAGCTTCGAGACAGTCCATGGAGTGCCAGTGTAGATTACATATGACTGCAAATCCAATTATGCTGATGACAGTGGGATAGCATAGTGCGATTGGATTAAAATGTAGGTCTCGCCTGAGGTATAGCGATACATGGTTTGGTCAATAAGATGCAATGGATTCGACGGCATGATACGATACAATAGTCTCGTAAAAGAACAAATGGAGAATATAGCTTACAGAGCATGATGGATGGGAGAACAATCAATAACATCCAGTGTTAATGCGAGTGTTAATCGAGGCTAGATTCTATCGTAGATTGCATAGTCAATGTTAGATTTCATGTTACCGTAGAGGCAAAATTTAGCATCAACCTTGCACGAGATAGTTGGTTGTGGAAGAGCCAAAATTCAACCTCAATGGAGGTATTAAGATGTGCCTGATACCTTGTTACAAAAGAGCCAAAATAGAGTGCCAGCTGAGATTGAAATCGAGTGTAGATTAGATAGCATGATGTACAATATATATAGGTTAATTAAGAATCAACCTTGCACTAGATAGTTGGTTGTGGAAGAGCCAAAATTCAACCTCAATGGAGGTATTAAGATGTGCCTGATACCTTGTTACAAAAGAGCCAAAATTGAGTGCCAGCTAAGATTGAAATCGAGTGTAGATTAGATAGCATGATGTACAGTATGTATATATATAATATATACAATGAAAAACTCAAGTATCAGCAATAATTAGAATAAGCTGTGGATTAGATATACGTACATTATATTGCATATAGTGCAAAATTGAGTCTCACAGGTTGCAATCAAGTATGCTGTCGATGACATATTACATTGCAATAGAGTCTAATTGGGTATTGAAGTAGTTGCTATGCTACGTTGATGTTACTATGTACAATAATGAAACTACCACCACAATATTGGTATAAAATTATGGATATTATGTTGTAAAAGTGAAGATTGAGTAGCTACAGAAGTTAGAATATCTTGTGAAATAGCTATCGTGTTGTAGTGAGATATCACAATTGTAGTACAGTCAATGATCGAAGTTGCGCAACATTAGCTCTGATCGAATAAGCACAGTCCTACGGGGAAAGAGATTGAAAATGACAAGCTTTTATAATTTTAACGACTGTTACAGAGTGGCATACTAATATTATAATAAAATCGATATAGGGTAAATGGTTCAGTAATGTCGTCAGCGAGGATTGCGTATGGACAGTAGGTAAGGGAAAAGTAGGGATACACCGTATTTGAAATCTTGTATATAACTGCTATCCTGTGATACCTTCAAAATATCGTAAAAATCTTGACTTGGATATGCATATCTTTTGACTGTCCACTCCACGACTCCTAAAACAAAAAAATGGGCTCGTCAATGGCTATAGAGGATAGGAAGTTGTTAAGGATAATTTGCCAAAAATCCGTGCGAGATCCTGGTAAAGGATGGAAGTCTTTAACAAAGGATAAGTACCAAGCTGATGTTTGGACAATGACAGAAATGGAAAAGAAATTAACTTTAGAAAGATTTCAAAGAGAGGTTAACTTATAGTAAAAACAAAATTTTATTATTATGATAGCTGCTCTATAATACAACTTTCCTGACTTACTAATGAGGTAGATGGGTGCATGGTCTAAGCTAGTCCTGTAATACGATCCATTTTACTGAAAGGATTTTAGAGTAAAGTTAATCTGTAGATGACCGCGAATAAGAATTAGTATAGAGCTTGCAACAAAGAAATCACGCTAAGGATGATTTACGTGTTGTAGCAGCAGTAATCTCAATAAGATTCATTAGAGATATCGAGTTGGAAATATCGTAGTGTAATTGAGACCATGACATTAGTGAAAATAGATATCATTGCTATCGTAGTAAAATAACTGTGCTACTGCCGCATTACTAGCAGTATAAAGTACAATGTTATTTAATTAGATACATAAACTTAACAATTCTTGCAAAGCTCTTTTATTTTATTGTCTTCTAATAGTGTGTTTTTGCCTATGGTATAGAATCCTGGCTTCGATTTTAGTGGAGCTGAAGTCACAGGAAATTTTGCAGATGGCGGACCTAAACTACCTGAACGATAAACTCATAAAAAAATAGGATGTGTTTTATGTACACTAGTAGAATTGCGTCTATGAAATATTATGGTAATATGATCAAACGTATTCGTCACATTACGGTACACAATTGACTTATTTAGTCTATCCAGGCAAAATATCGCTTTATTAAAACTACCTGTATACTAAAGATTGAAGTCAAATTCTACAGCGATACGGACATTCATAATTCATTTACTTAATCTACTTCTTACGGGTTGAAAATGGGTAACTGAAGATTTAACGCCTAACGAATTTAAACTAAATATTTCAGGCATCTTTGACTAAGTTGTTCAAATTATATTATATTACATGCTATATAAAGCACAGTGTATTATACAGTAGATAGTAGTTCGGTAAATATATTCACAGCTACTTCAAGGTTGAATAAAGATTTACAAAAACCAATCACAACATTGGACTAAAATGTAGGATGAACTTTAAGCATAATGTAAATCATATTCGCGAAATAATTTACGCTAAATTGCTATGCATTATTTTAGACTATAGTAGGGCTAATATAAATTTTAGCAAATACCGAATTAATTGCATCTTAAACGATGCCAATTCAGTATTGTACTTAGAAATTATGCTAACTTTAATTATGTACTTTCAATTACCATAATATAAACAACTCGACGTCAGGAATGCATTGATCAGGATATTGTCCATCTTTATTCTTTAGCTTGTAAATATTGGTTAACCTTATGAATAATTTGAAAGAAATTAATTCTCTTAAACTACTGACCTGACCATATTGTATACGTACGTATATATCCACGTGCATTGTTATAAAAATTTTGTGTCGATCTGTTCTAAATTCCACTGTTATTTGCAGCAAAGGTTTACTACCCTTCAAGTTATTACGTATCTTACCCTATAAACCCGACTTATTAGCAAATTAGATGAACTGTTTTTCTAATTAAATAGGAATGTATCAGCATCAAATAGGAATTGATACATTTCTTATCTATAATCGTCACATACTGCATGTCTGCTGAAATTTAAAAGTTATCTTTAAATGTCAATGTTTTGAATGTGATACGCTTCATTTCATTAAACTGCAAACTGAAATGTGTATAAGTATCATAGCCAATAAAGAACATGTTTATTGCAATTATCCAACTCATTTTGAACTGAACTAGTCAGTGCAATACAGCATTATAAAGGTTAAAATGGACTGATTAGGATCGATACGGAGAAGTTATTTAGATTACTAATGCACAATTGCTATAAAAACCTGAAGTGCTATGCTATAGCATATTTACGCAAATCATTTCACTTCAACAATACAACTAAATTAATCCAAATGAGGCTAAGCAAATGAAGTGATTGTGATTCCCTAACTATTGGGGTATCAACAGATAAACGAAGCTTTAGTTTTGAGAATGGTTTGTGATCTCAGGGCAATCGAAACTAAATATGTATTTCTAGATTCTATAAATGCCTACAGGCTACAGTATAATAAAGCCTAGAATACAGCAATAGTGTTCATCTGATTTACAATTACAGTACTAATTATTGAATAAGACTTAGACTTAGCATCCTTACTTCCGTAACATTTAACAATTTAATTTATTTGGTATTATAGAATTAAATCAATTCTATCATCTAGAACTCTCTGCTAGGGGTCCATTAATTGTATTCTTTTTATCATCTAGAATTCGCTGTTGAGTGTACATCAATTGTTACAAAGTATCAAAAATAAATTATACCAATTTTCATGCATTACCATCGCATAAAAGTCGCTAGAATATGCCGGTCAACAATGAATTGAGAATTTATATACACACTCATATAATTTTAAATCCATATAAGATCCTATATTGCATATCAGGATGAAATCGTAAGCATGACCTCTATTACAATACGATATATCTTCAAATTAACCGTATCTTCCTGTAACTTTAGCACTCACTCATCAAACATATCTATAGTAACGCATGCACCATATAACTTATATAAATATACTGAATACTAAAGCATTTCACTGATCTACTTAATATTTGAATATTTTCTTAAATAAAAGACGTGCTCCTTTGTATAGCATTTCGGTAAAGCCCATTTGGAAATTTTTTCCCGTACTTCTGATAGACAATTTTTTCCTTCTTCGTCCGGCCAAAATTTACACAGATGAGATATAATTAAAGCGCATTCGATTGGATCAGGGAAATAATTCATCTGCATAAGGCAATGCGTAATTTTATTCGTTAGTGATATATTTGGAGCTTGATACAATCATGCAATAAAACAATTAATAGGGTATTGGTCTATAATTTGATCATGACTAATGAAACTACTCAAATAAAATATCTCTTTTACCTTAATGATTTTAGTTATGGAATCAAATTGTTCCATAATATTTTGTTCTTCTGACTTTAAGTATTCTAATGTCACAGATGGATAAAAGTATTTGATATCTGATGTCACATCAAATTCAGGATCCATTCTTTCTTTTTGTGGTATGATGACCGGGTCATGCTGGATCTTACACATTTCTTGAAGGCCTTCATGATAATTTGCAGATTTTTGATCATTCAATTCCTCTACTAATATATCTACGGCAGTACCGCTACACTCACTTAGCTTATTAGCATCTTCAACAGCATTTTTGTTAGCTGTACCATCTGATCCCTCAGGCGAATCAAGATTCTTGATAACATCTTGAGCTTCCAAATTGTCGTCAACTTGAGACAATAAATGTGCATTATTTATCCCTTCTTTACTGGTACTTGCACGTATATCAATGTCCGATGCAATTGAATTCCTACTTGAATCCTCCTCTTCATTGATACTCTGCTTGATCTCAAACGTTCGTTTTGTTTTACCTGCTTGCTTAATGGAATCCAATCCTTGAGCACTTTCATGCCGTTCAACAGCGATCGCAACCTGCTCTAGTTTAAATTGGCAGCTTAAATAATTTACACGAGACTCGACGAGCAACGCTGCCATTGCATCTGATAATATTCGAATAATTTCTCCCATCGTTAAAATATTATTACTGTTAACATCTAATTGTTGCGATACTGCTAAAGCAACTGGCTGCTCTCCTATTTTATTATTGCTGTCCTGCAGCAAGCTCTGAATTGCAACATCTTGTCGATTATCTACCTTATTACTGCTATTATTTTCCACATTCTGAGAAATACCAGATGGCATCCTATATTCTGTTGTATCGTCTTGTGTAACAGGAAATAAACTCGTATTATATTGTACGCTTGATTTAGGTAGTGCCCACCACAACCAAAGCAGTATGTAATAGTAATAATATTGAAGTGGTACACAATCTTCGCTATTTTGCTCAATCAAGTATACGGTTATGTAATTCTGAAAAGAATGAGGACCACTAGGAAAAAACGATAGCAAAGCATTTCCCATGATATCATAAGCTCCATAAGATAAACAAGTTTTAACTATATTCTGAATAGAGCTGAGTGCCCCAACACCATCTGATGCTAGTAGACAAAGTAAACAAATTGATAACTGATACGAAGTAGATAAAAGTACCTGCAAGATAAAACAAAACGAGAGATTAAAGATTTAAATTTAAGACATTCCGCCAGGTTAAAATCCAAACTAATGTCAGAACTTGCAAAAAGAATTACTTACGTTAGTCAAGTTTCCTAATTTCCAATTCGAATTGCTTACGTGTTCAGATAAAACAATTTGATACTCTTTAACTTTATCCATATGAAAGTCAATATGTGACATCCACTTTTTCAAAATTGATACGAAGATAGGTCCATTGATCAACTTTTTAGTACTTATTCGAGCATAAATGCTTTTGTCACTCTTCTTAAAATAGTTCAAGGCTGCTAAATCATGTTTTAAATAAATGATTTACATCAGAGTGAGAGGTACAGGTAGCAAATACTAAACATTATATTATTATAATTCTCACCTTTAGCAATAGGTGGTGTATCATCGTCAGTTACAGCGTCCTTACTACTTGATGAATGTAGTAATTCGTGATCCAATTGCTTTACTTCTAGGTCTAGAGTACTAACTAACTCATACCATACAATAGCATTTAACTGGAAGGGCTACAATGAAATAAATAATAAAAATCCAAGAAATCTGAGAAAGAATGTTATTAAAACAAATATCGATGAATTAATAATTCCATTATATGTTTGTTAACCGTTAGCTCGTTCGTTGTTGTACATAATGATAACGCATCATTAATTGAAAGGACTTGCAATGACGAATCGATACACGTCTTAATCCAAGCAGTGGATATTGGTATTCCACCCATCAGTCGAGCAACTTTAACAGCGGCTATAGCAGCAGTATGCTCTTTACTTCTGCTTAAAGCACTAACGGCTTCCGAATGTAAACCTATGGCTAAATAACTAGCCGTAACACAAATGCATAACACTAAATTAAATTTGTATATTTATGCAAAAGTTCTTAATATTGAGATATGGCAAATGTGTTACCAACCATTTAGCAGCTTGCTCAAAACGTGATTCTTTCTCTAGACTTCTGGCCCAGGCTAAATAAATATCTGATATTACCGGATCATTAGAAGATAATCGACACTGGGCAAGGCCTATCGCTTCTCTAATTGAAGGAAAGAAAATTAATGACGTCCTGTCTCTGAAGAATCTATAAAAAATGACTATTCAAGCAGATGTTACACCAAATATTAAATTAACCTGTACATTCCATTTTCTTTGAAGCAATCTACTGCTTGATAAGTTTCATGGCAAGCTAAATAATAGACCGCAGCTTTCTGTGGATAGCCATTACTCATGAGTTGATTGGCATAATTCTTAGCAGTTTCTAGCCAAACATCGTAACCCCCTATGATAGAAAAACCATATCTCCGATCAGCTAAATAATTAAGTAGCAATTATTCGATCATAATAATATTAAATTCTTATTTGCAACAAACTAATTCACCTGCAATGCTAATAGAAACGAGCCAATCCGTTAGTTGGCCGTTTTCAGTTGCAAAGTGGAGAGCATTGCCTATATCACCAGTCCAAATGTTCAGTTGAAGTGATTGCTCCACATTTCCCAATGACAAATGCCTCTCTCCTAAATGTGATACGATCATAAAATCATTAACTAAATTGTAATAATTGCCATGTGTATCAGTTCAATCGCTAACATTCGTAGTACATATGTATATCTTGTACATTACGTACGTTCAAAGTCAATGGCTCTCATAGCAGTATGACGATCCGAAAAGAGAGCGACACCGAGTGCAGATTCAAAATTATCAAAGGCAGTATCTACATGTTTACCTATAACAGCAACGAGATATCAGTAGCGGCCCTTCTGCTACATTGCAGCAGCTAGTCTAACACAGATAAGCAAGAAATGATACCGTTGATGATTTCAGCTAATTCAACACATTCATTGCGTTGAATTATCTTTGGACGGGAATCTGCATTTGCACACGAGGGTAATAAGGACCTTTGTTTACCTTTTTTCTTCTTTCCAGAAGAATCTAATAAAACAAAAATATAAAGTGTATGCAGTAGTTAAAGCTAAATGAATACAATCACTCTGTATAGTCCCGTTATCAACAGTAATAAAAAATTGTTTACTTTTCATTTGCTCTTCTTTGACACTCAAATGTAAATCATTATTAGTACAGTCTGCAGATATCGACGGAGTTTCTGTTGTGTTAACAACAGATGCTTCAGGTAAACGATTTGGTAACTGTTCAATTTTGGGTAATACTGGCACTTCAGGAAGTTCGGGCTTATCCCATTTGGCAATGGTTACGTTTTCATCTTTGACAGGGAATTTATTAGTGCTTTTGCGCTTTTTTTTGGAGCTTTTGCTGCTAGACTGTGATTGCTCTGTTAAAGCAATTAAAAAGGTTTCTACCGAATACTCAAGTTAACATCAATTACAAGCAGAGAAATCGCAATTCTTACCAGAGCCTGAAGCTGACACTCTGTCCCCTTTATGTTTGGAAACTTTCCAAAAATGCACAGAGTAATCCTGACTACCAGAATATATTAAATCCTGATCTCGAAAACTCCAAGCGACCGTTAGTATTCTTCCCAAGTGGCTAACGTAACTTGCGATAATTTGACAACTGGTAATATCCCAGACCTATACGTATAACAAAAATTTTATCACTTACTCACAAGCATAATGAATAGAAAATGTTTGAGAATTAACCTTAATCGACCAATCAAAAGACGCAGTAGCAATTTGATACGCGTTGTGAGGACTCCAACTGATGTCAGTAACGCGATGTTGATGACCTCGTAACTGTTTATAACTTGTTGTTACAACAGTCGATGATTGCACTATATATCAGCAGTAACACAAAAGTAAATATAATGTGAGTAACACTTTTTAACAATATCAAAAGCACAGAAATGCTAACTAACGTTGTAATTGTTTAATATCATGGATATAAACGGTCATAGAGTTTGATCCGGAAGCCAACCAACACGTCACGTCTTGCTCTAACGAATAAAACAGTCTAGAATAAATTTTCTCTTCCTGCATTACCATCACCTCATCATTACCACTTAAATTGTGTAAGTCTGACAAATATTTACTAACCAAGTTGTTCATCATTAGCAAAGTGTTGATGATGCCATTGCAAGCAGTTTACGATTCTACTCTGGCACTGTATTTTTAAAAGGCTTTCGAGATTGGGCGCTTGAAAAATTTCGATTAATCTGTCGAAATACAACATCCATCCTATATTAATGTCAGTTTTAAAATCGATCAAAAATTAAGATTTCACTCACCCATCATCATTGCCAATAGCTAACAAAGTCAAGTCGGGTTTCCAAGCTAACTCGCTTCTTAAAGGAAATTTTTGCTATTGACATTGCGTTTTGAAGATATTACATTACGTTTCATTAATAAGAAAAGTTTTCAATAAAGAAAATATTAAATTTTAATAACTGTGTAATACCTGGATATCATTCGTTTTGGCAATAATATCATTAATATTAGAAGCATGACTTTCCATATGCTGCGTATTATGTTGTAGAGCTATACCATCTCCTCCAACACTATATAACATTAATTTAGTACTGGATGATGTCAATTCTTTGTCGCTAAAAGTACACTGTGGTCCCCAACTTAAGGAGTACACTGTGCCCTTGTGATATGACCAAGAAGCACTTGAACTGCAATACAGAAATACGAAATTATATAGTATTTATTAGTGCATTAATTAATTTAATTAACATCTAAATTCAATTTTCAACAACTACAACAATTTGATCTATTTGTTATATCAATTCAGATATGTACCTTTGAGATAGTATATTGTAGATACCAACTTTGCCTTTATCAGTCCCAAAGGCTAGCAAGCCTTCTTTTTCAGGATGCCAGTTAATCTATTGAATATGTTAGACGGTACAATCAAATCCATGTCCATCCTTAAAAAATTAACTTATAACAAGGACTGTAATCGATCTAGCTTCAATAATTGGTATGGAAGGTACGTAGAAAGGCTAATAGTTAACACTAGAAAGATTCAACTCTGGCTAAGCGCATTCGTTTAGCAACTAATGAAATGCTTACCACGGTAACTTTAGAGTCTATGCCTTGCCATAGTATGCGACTGTCGTAGCATGTTTCTTTATCTGATACTTTCCAAGTAATAATGCAATTATCGCCAAGACCACCAGCTATTAAAGACGACGTCAGTGGACTTATTCGAACGCAATGCGCCCAGCCACCTAAGGTTGGTAGGACAGAAATGGGCTGCAATTTAATTGCATCCCAACAGATGATCTGAAAAAGATACAATTATTCCGCATAACTTTAAAGGGAAGATTGTTGTTTAGCCGCGGTAATGAAATTAAGAGTCTAAGAATGTAAAAGCAGATCCATCTCGAATATACTAAATAATAAAACGTGATCATTGATTTCAATATTAACCAGTGGCTATAGAGTAATCTCTGATGTGCAGTGATACATCAATCCTATAGCTCACCTGTCTGTCTAATGAGAACGTTACTAGATAGTTCTGTTGTTCAGATGAATAGTAAGAAATGTTGAATACTGGTCTGGTATGACAATGATTCACTTGATCGTCAAAGACAGTATGCTTTGGCTTTTTATAATGTGTCAAGTCCCATAGCAACACATTGCCTCTAAAGAATTTGAAGCATTTAATTCCGTCATCAAACCCATTTTAAAGGTGTCATGCAAAGGTGCCAAATAATTTATCAAATATTTTGGTAAGGTTCAAATTTTGACAATAAGTACAATAAAAAGGCAAGCATTGTTACACTTACGTATGATAATTGGATACAATATGATTCAAGTTCCAAGGTAACCATAGCAGACTTATCCAGTTCTTTGCTTGCTTTTCTAAATCAACCGTCTTTGACCAATTGCGTGCGCCACCATTAATTTTGTTGGGCATTTTAACAACTGTTATAACTTCTCTCTTATAAACATTCCATATCCGAAATAATCTATCTCTCGAAGCAGAGGCCAGTAATACGTCTACAGTGAGATGAATAAAGTAGAGTATTTCATAATGTGTTATTAACTTCAATATCACTTGTTCATAATAAGACAACCTTCCCTACACAGTCTACAACGATCTGAATTTTACCGTACAATATAAAAAGTTACCTCGATTTGAGCCGGTTTCGAAATGATCTCCAACCACAGGGCACCAATTTAAGCAAGTGATTTGCCTTTGATGTCCTTTCAGTTCTAGCTTGTGGGAAATGTGCCCACTTTCGGCATTAATGTTAGCAACGATGATAGTTCCATCGTTGTAACCTAACGCAAAGTCGCTCTGATCGTGAGGTGACAACTGAATACAGCTAATTGAGTCTTTTCTTAGTGAACCAATGATAAATCGTTGCGCCGCTAATTCCCAGCAAACAATATTACCTTTTTCATCACCTATTAATTATAACATTAACCATTCGTTAGCACCCAAGCAGATGAAGCAAATAACAGGTAACTTAAGATGGTATCAGTCGAGTATGTAAGCCATCAAGGCTAGTTAATGCAGTTTGCTAAAGTTTCAATCTGACAACACTAGTTAGCTAATGAACAACAGCAATACATCCTAAGAATGGTGCTTTATTTGCAATCCTGTTAGTGAAGTAATCCGCGTTGATTTAATTGGCTGCAGAGCAAGTATGGTAGCTCAACTTGCACAAAGGGTAAAGGGCTTTGCCGTTGCAAAGAGTAAACTCTGACCCCATTGCCAATATGCGCTGAATAGCCAACTTAATTACGCTAATCATTTTCCTTACAAGAGTATTTCGATACCTGAAATGATCCATTTGCTGGTTGATTTTGAGACAGACAAGGATGTGATTTTAGCCTAATGAAAAATGATAAAATCCTTACGTTGATGCAGTGAACAATACTTTATTTATATTTAACGCTTGCAAGTATTCGACTACCAGCCATGTACCGTTGTAACAACTAAAGGAGATTCCATGCAATGGAACGCCTGCTTAAGTGCATATAGTGTAATAAACATCAAATTGACTATTTGTTATTGTGCAGAAATTCAGGCAATCCTTTTTTCATCGATGGTTATCCACTCGTTGAAGATAAGGCAGTCGTTGCAACTGCCCTATCTCGCTAGACTTTTGCATAAGTATACCTGATGTTTTTCATGTTTTGCAATAAAATGGCGTGATTCTATATCCCATAGAATAATTTTTTTGTCTTCTCCACCACTAACGCATAAACGCTGAGCACCATTTCGGCTAAGTTGCAAACAAGTAATACGACCAGTATGCAACGACATGATCCCAATCCACTGAAATTGAGCTGGTCCTAATCGATCATCTCGTTGTGGAAGCCGATACAAATAAATATCGTTTCTACCTCCAAAAACATATATTCCGTTGTCCGTGCATTGGCTGACAGTAGTGCAATACCAATTTGCCGAAGCAGGTAGCATTCCTTCCTGAATTTTCCCATCGAATGTGTCCTCCTTGTTCTCCATGGCTACAACTGGATGAATTGCTGTGACTTTTCCTTGACTCCTATCACCTGCAGTTGCAATTTCGCCGAATGCAAAGCTCGAGCACCTTCGGAAGCTAGCTGTATAACTGCAGACGCTCTGCTACGGTACAGTACAGACGGAAAGACAATGGTGCAGCTAGGCCTGGAGACTGGTGCTCTTTGGTTGTCACCCCTTTGCCGACTCGGTGGAATAGGCAAGTTGTCGAGTCAACCGATGTCGTCAACAGTTCAATTGCATGACTAGTATGACTTCTAGAGTATGTTTAAAGGTAGAGTACCCTGAACACTATACAATATTGACAACAAAATCACACCTTACAAGGGTGACAATAAAAGGGCACTCGACTCGATCGTCTGTATGTCTATCTATCCGTATCGATCTGGACCGGTTCCCTGGTACCAGTTCCGGATCGGACCGCGGATAGGTCTGATGTAGTACTCAACTAGTACCTACCGGGCTGGTTCTACTTCGGCAACATCACGTTGAGGGTAAGGTATTAAATAGCAGCACAAGATGATACAGAATACATCAATGATCTAGATAAATAGGCTGAGTATCGGAAAGAAGGAGAGCTTTTGGGTACCCAATAATGTGGGGACCGATCATTTTTCTGGTCAATTTATAATACGTTATCACTGAGACTGTACACTATACTGTATAAAACCAACCAAGCAGCTCATCTTCAGGACCAATGGTAGACCGCAAACTCGACACTCAAGTGTTTCATTTCAGACATACATTGCAGTTGATTTGACCAGTAGAATAGTAGGCCTACATTTGGAGTATTGGAAGTAGCCGTTTTCTGTCCGTCTCTTTCTTCGGAGGAGGAGGATTACGATCACCATGGCGACCAGGTGGGTTGATACTCTTCAGAATCTTTTACTCTCGATGCTCCTGTCTTGGAAAAAGCAGAGGAAGTGCTCGACAAGTTATTTAAAGCGACATCCACCATCTCGTATCTAAATACCCTTCGATCCTATCTTTAAGCCTATGACTAATCCATAAGAAAGGCACTTATATCAACACAAGCACTCGAGAGCTTGGTAGCCCATTGGATATTGATCATCGGTCGGTTTCGCTCTATTGCAATCTGTTATTTTCGACTGGCTACCTTCCAGCCCTTGAAAAGAATCAAGGGAAATTAATAAAATGGAAGGCAAATTGCTAATTCAATTCGTAAAGGACACTCGATTTCAGGATTTACTTCAATTGATCCAATAGGTCTATCCTCCAGTTCACATCACCATGGAATGCATTATGATATATCATGCAAATCACATTTCATGATAATAACTTGGATACTGAAATAATCATCATTTAATTTGTTGATTCATCTTATGATGCACCTGTATGCCACACAGTGCATTAAAAATCAATCAGGAAACGATATTTAATTTCCACTTTCATTTGACATGATCCAATATCTTTACCGTCTGTTTTTCATCACTGTGGCATCCACGATGACATCATAAAAAATTACGCTTCATGATTATAATTTCCGCACTGAAGTAATCATCATTTTATTTATTCGTTTATTCATTCCATCTTTATGCTACACAGAAGATTAAAAATAATCAATCAGCATACTATATTCAATTTCAAGATTTATTCTACTTAATCCAATATCTGATCGTCTCATTTTCATTACTGTACCATCCACTATGACATCATAGAAATCACCTTTCATAATTACAATTTCGACATTGAAATAATCATCATTTTATTTATTTAATTAAATCATCTCATACTACATCTTCTTTCTGCCACACGGTCGATTCAAAATAATCAATTAACAAATTGCATCTAATTTCTACATTTATTTGACCCGATCCAATATCTATATCGTCTCATTTTTATCACTGTGGCATCCACTATGATATCATCCAAATCACATTTTAGGATTCAATTTCGACACTGAAGTGATCATCATTTTATTTCTTTATTCATCTCATCATTATGCCACACAGTCGATTAAAAATAATCAATCAGTAAACTGCACTTAATTTCCACATTTATTTTACATGATCCAATATCTCTATCGTCTAATATGCGTCATGATATGCAGATCACATATCATAATTACAATTCGGCATTAAAAATTACAATCATCTCTTTACTGTATTTATTCATCTCATCATCATGCGCCTTCTTTACCCCGCGTAGTAGACTAAAAATAATCAATCAGCAAACTGCATTCAATTTCAAGATTCACTTTACTTGATCCAATAATTCCATCATCTAATTTCCATCACTATAGTTCTCATCATGTTATCATGTAAATCACACTTTGTTGTTACGATTTCGTCACTACAATAATAATAAGTAATCATCAACTTATTTATTTATTTATTTCATGATATGCGTACAACTGAGCTACGCCACTCTGTAGATCGAAAATAATCGATCAGCAAATTATATTCAATTTTAAGATTCATTTACATGATCCAATAATTCTAATGTATGCGCTGTGGTATGCATCTTAATATCATCCAAACTCCAACTTCATGATTATAATTTGGACAATAAAATAATCATCTCATTACTGATTCATACCGTTATGCACCTTGTTCATGCTACACAACCAATTTATAATAAACCACGTAAGAATTCTAAAAGGATAATGATGTATTCTTATCTTTGTTTATCTTTATTATTATTCTTGTATCGCATCATAGAGTAAATGATCCAATTTATGCGGCATAAGCAGTATCCGTTATCAATAAGAAGAACAACCTATTTACCAAGTGCACCTAAGTAAGACGTTATTGAAATGAAATACAAAAGCGGAAAATAAAATAAACATAAAAGTGATTTATAGCCTCTTTACTGTCACATAAATTCAAATATTACGACATCAAGGTTTGTATAAAATTGCCGACCTAGCGTAGAACCTTATACTCACTTACAAGTTGCATCTACACGAACGATTGTTGTCCATTATACAATCAAATCAATCGATTGAACAAGAAAATTAAATCTTAATTACACTATAGACTACTAGAATATAGGTGCATAGACTTTTTACTTCAATAACCATAGTTTAGTAAGTAGCAAGAAAATGATGCAAAAATAATAATCTTAGCTTAGCTTTCGCTCACAAATCATTTTATCACTTTAATAGAGCATTATCTCCATAAGTAATAAAAAATGTTTAAATTACAAATATCATTTTTATAGGAACATCAGAGCTCTTAAAGCGATCTTTTCATAAGATTAAAGCTGTCGACGATTGCCAGCTTAATGGAAATTTTGTCTGTTAAATAGAATTATATCTACGTATGTAAGCATTGAAAAATGTCTAACATGCAAAGCTAATTGAGTAGCAGCATCAGATAACTTAAAAACAAATTATCTATAGATTAAAACTACCTGCAATCGCCAGCTTAATGACTATAATGATATCATCTATGCCTTCATAAGCGTATTGATGATGAAGTAAAATGCGCCCTTTGTGGCCATTAGTAAAGCACATATGCAAAATGGGGTTAAAAAATTATTCATTGCAAAAAAAGTAAGTTGAAATTACAATTCATATTGATAGTATTTTACCTCTATCGTATACTTGATCTGCTTGTAGTGCATGCATATGATACTTTAGGGATAAAACCAAAGTCTCAATTGAAATGATTTTCTAACGAATAAACGTATGATGCTCCAAACTTGAATCAAATTGCCACTATATCGATTTTACATTCAGGTGGAATATATTTCATTTTCTTTTTGTCTTGAATGAAAATTTTTCCTTGGCTGAAACAAACCAAGGCAGGATAGTTTTTTTGATGACGTGTTTTATAATTTATCAACACGAAAGAATCGTCGGAGTCGACAAATTCGAAATTATAGCTGCATATGAATGTGGGGGGAATTTTCTTTTCGATGTGACGAATTTTTTCTTTTAGAGCCGTCGAGTTGTAATGGTTAGGGATTGCCTTGGCGCTGTCTCTCAGTAGTAAATCCTGCAACATAACAGATAAAATGCATTATTGTCATTAGCTTCTTTCAACCTGTAAAATTCTAGTAAAAAAGCCATGTTAAGTACGAATATAACTATACTTGTAGATGTGAATATTCCTATCATTCAGCAAGTAAATCCTACTTAGTTTAATAATTAAGAATTTTAACATAGACTAGCCATTAATCCTCAAATCACGGATTGATAAAGTTGTCAATAGCAAGTTCATGTTCATCTCTATCACTAGTTGATTTTCTCTACCAACCATCGCTATCAGAAATAAATTTACTGGCATATCTTATGCTATGCTTACCACAAATACCAAATCGTAATAATATGGATTTTGTCGCTGCTGAAGGCATAATAAAGAAGATGGCTTTCTATCAACCATATGCAATATCCAAATAATGCTTATAGCGCTACGTAGCATCGTGAAATGTCCTAGAATAATATGATAGGAATTTAAAAGCATAAAATCGATAAGAATCAGTCTTCTATTCGTATTGTATTGCACGATTGATATGCTCTAGCTTAGGTATTGACTGAATCATGATCAAAGAATAAACGTAAAGTATGCTAGCGTAGACTTTTCATCGAAGCAACAGTAGTTCATAATACGATTATGCAGAATCAAGTATAAAAATACAGACTACAATCGTGGAGCACCTCTCCATATTCCCGAGCTCTAATCTTAATTTCCTGATGATACCATAATTGAAGCGCTTTTACTCATTTATGCTAGTAGAAATGATCAACTTACCAATATCAGGATTGAGAGAAACTTGAGGTAGATTTGTATCTGATTCACCTAAATAACCAGCCCTATTTCCAATAACGAATGCTTGATCACTTTTACTTATATAGCCATCCATACTCCGGTACGCGAATTCATTATTGCGTAGAAGATCTGTAAAGATAAATATTTCATTGATCTTACTTGGCCATTAGCCAAAACTATTCCGATTAGCGGCGCATTTATATCAATTATTGTTAATACAATTAAGCAAGCATGAGATCAAGTAAAAGGAAGTAATGTCATGGAAATAAAGGAGTAAAGTGAAAATAGATACCGTATCTTTAATTAATAACAGCCAAAATAGAGTGCTTATTATACACACAGCTTTCTATTAAAAGATTCATGAGCTACTTACGATTTTTATGAAGATGAGAACGCATTTTTTCTTCAATTTGCCGTGGATGCACCGTTGTAAACTTCCTGTTAAAGTGCTGATATTTCAATACTTTATAAACACTATGATAGTTAAACGATTTTAGGGAAAAATGTATTTGAAATTTCTTTGTAACAATATAATCCGCTCAATAGTGTAAATTAAAACACCAATGCAAATAATAGAACTAATGGGCCTGATAATTTTATACTCCTACAAGGTGCTAAAATGCAATGGAACGATTTCGGCAGTAGTTCTGTTTAAAATTCTTTCTTAGCGATGTAATTCTCTCAATAACGCCAACAAAAACTAATCTAACGATCAGATTTATGAGCTTTACAGTTATCGCCTCATTGCTTTATATAAGCTACTTAATATCTCAGTTTTAATTCCACTCTTGCTGTCTTCTCTATAAGGAAACGAAACTGTTGTTGTGTACCTAAAATGAAATAATTTATTAAGCGTATCCAAAAATTCATTCAATTATCACAATATTAGTTTAAACAATTGATGTTTACCGATGAGTTATCATCACTAATGTCTTCAGTAACATATAGATCCATATAAAGAATAAGCAACCCTTCCAAACCAGTCCGGAATAAAAAAATATCTTGCTTTCTCATGGCCAATAAATTTCAAAACCGAAATGGCATTTATTCTCTATGACAAAATAAAAAATGGTTCCAAGTTTGACTTCTTCCAAATTTGTCACATCTTTCACAACATGCAACGGAATGCAAACTATTTTGATGCCTATCTTGTATCCCGGCTTATAAGTCAACAATGTTTAAATGTATTAGTATACAGAATACGTGGCGCTACTTCTCAAGTCATTTAAATAATTAATTCAATTTTAAAAATTGGGTCAATTCAACAAAAAAAGACGCCGGCAGTTTCATGACTTAATTAGCAATAGCAGATAATCTCTTGTTCACCCATTTTACTTAGCGTGGTTTTAAATTTGAGTTGACAACACAAACTTCAACTATAGTCATTTAAATAACTTCTACAAATTTAATATTCCATTACTGTCCGTATACTTGTAGCATAACAGGCAATAATGCAATACGTCTACGTGTTAGATTGTTTGTAAATTTAAAATTACGAAACTAATTCAGTTTCGGTTAAAGCCAAGTGAATTAGTTTAGATACCAAATTCGTAGGCAGCTCAAAGATTAGATCGTATGATTGTAATTAATCACTTGATCGGTGATGTTCTCATGCATTTTAAAGGAGAGCCTTAAGCGATACTCATATACTTTTAGATCTAAGAATGTACGATAGCTAAGATTTTTTATTAGTATAAAATTCCGTTTGCATATGCTCTGTAGCTGCTTGCGTAGATACCCGTAACATATAGATAGAAGATATAAATGCCAATGACTTTTAAAATAACAAGAATTCTAGATTTGACTCTAGTGAAGACTGGTGCTAGTGTTTAACCGACGTTGGAAACAGTTTCTTCGAGTATGTTACTATAGTAAAGCAACAATGGCATAGTTGTAATATATAATGAACTCATATTAAATGTTTTACAAAGAATTTAATAACAATAGAATTTAAAAGTGCTTACATCTAAAAAAAGTAAACAAAAGATTAATTGCGTCGCAGGAAAAAAATCATGCATTACCTACAAAAAATCTATGTTAAAAAAGAACTGAGGTAACAATTAATTGTAATAGGATCTAAAATTTAATTGGTAGCGAAATAAATAACTGACACTTGTGCTAATAAGATTATAAATAAGAAATCTATGTCTAAAGATAGCGGTATCAAACTTGATCATATCTTTAATAAGATTTAAACCTGCATTTAAGTGACAATAAAATAAATAAAAAATTATCATGTCAGCAAAAATTAAACAGATAGAATTTACGTTCATGGCTTTGACTTCAGAATTGTAATCAAACTTTTACCCTATCTATAATAAGATTTAAAGCTACATCCAGCTAAGAATAAAAAAACAAATCATAACCATTTTCCGACAAAAATTATAAATAAGGAATCTATATTTTTGAACTATGATGTCAAAATTTTCATATCATAGCCACAAGATAAATGCTATTTGTTTAACCCTATTAAGTTGCGTTTCATCAGTTATTATACAATTAAATTTACCTGTATTCAACTTCTATAGTTAAAGTGATCACAAACACAAATACAGCTCCTTCTCTCGAAAATGGTTCTATGAACGTTACCCTACCTAAAAAAGTAAAATATGAAATTTATGATAAAATTACGTTACGTACATCATCATCCAAGTTCTAGAACACTAGAAAACAAATAGATCACGCTAGTACATAACTTATCTAATCAGGCCCAGTACTTCCTGTACCTAAATTGATATAAAACGGCCTAAAAACAATTTTTGGAGATGTTATCCAAAAATTTTTTCTTACTTTACTATTAGTAGATAGCATAGTTAAAGTAGCTGCAAATTTTGAAAGCATGCAGGAAAAACACTAATCACTTTCTTCTTATACTGCATTGCCTATTTAGCTGTATAAACAAAAACATTATCTAATCATGGTGTATGTATTACAGATTGCATCATTCATTGCTTCGTTCGTTTATAATCTATCATGATCAACTTAATAGTTGATAATTATCTAGAAGTTTAGGTACATGGTCTTGCGCATCCAGTTATACTTTGCAATTCTAGACATATCCTGCAATCCTGTTTTCCTTCTATTAATAGATACTACTGTTACAATAGATCTTGCTTTGGCAGCTTGCTGAGAACCACTAGCTTTTTTCTGTTACTACAGTAACTATCAAGTTATATAGTCAACAACATTATCCGATCATAGTTTGTATCTCAGATAGGTTTCATCGTTCATTACTTCATTCGTTTGCAATTCATCATGATCAACTTAATAGTTTGCAATTAAGAACTACATGATCTTGATTGCTTAGCTATAGGTTGCAAACAGATATATAAATATAAATCATTGCATGTATACTGTTTACCTATTATCTGCTCTCTGCAAAATATGCATAATTTATAATATCCAATCAGAATTAACTTTATCATCATGCTTAAAATTAACGATAAGCAAATGCCGTGATATAGTGCGAAATATATCTTAAACTTCCTTTATTTTACTGTAAACGGATAATAAGGTTAAAGCAGCTCCGTCCTTATCATCTTGCTAATAAAATACTAACTCTTTTCTTCTTGGACCGTAAACAAAAGAATAGACATAAAAACGTTATTAATTATTAGTTTATGTCATAAACTGTTTTACATCATTCGTTACTTGACGTATTGGCAATTAAAAAAGACCTGCTTACAAAAAATTCACTTTAATGGCTGCCAACTGTCGATTACATTTTACAATATTGCTAACTACTTTTAGAATCTGCTTACATGGCGCTGTTTGGCAAACAAATTCAAAGATATGCTTTATTCATTTGAAATTGAATAAAAAATAGCAATATCTGTAGTTTCTAAATAGAATATTCTCAATACTTATACGCAGTCTAATAATATACTGTGCCATACTGTATGAATGCAAAACGGATTGGCAGCAAAATATAAAATATATTAATTAAGCTGATGAGAGCGAATGATGAAGGTTTCAGCAATCAAGCATTTCTGTTACTATATAATCCTAACTTTTTTCCTTTTGTACCCTTTTCAACTTGAAAATTATATATTAAAAAGGAAACTTAATTATGGGATTTATTTTACCCGTCCGAATAACTGCACTGCCAATAATGCAATTTAAATCACTGTAGTATACATTATTAAATCATGTAAATCATAGCCATTATTACAATTTCGACATGGAAATAATAATCTTTTTCTTAGTTTAATTTTCATATTATACACTCATTTTATTGGCTGTAATTCTAAGTTAAGCTCAGGGTAGCCTAACAATATGTAAGATAAGAGGTATAGGCGTGAATTGACTGGAAAATTTAGTATCTTAAGAGATAATTCCAAGAAGTCGTCTAGAAGAGTTGAAATTCGATAAATTCTAAATAAAAAGTCAGAATAAATTTAACAGGAGAACGATGTGTTTTATTACTTTTGATTCTTCTTCTTTAGTAATAGGAGAATGGTTATGTACTATGGCTATCGTGGAGTAATTATTTATGGCTATCGTGGAGTAATTATTTAATTCATGTAGAGCAGCTTTCTTTTAAAAATAATGAAAACAATCCATTTTATTAGGAAATAGTAGACATTGAAGTCATTACAAAAAACATTTACAAATTCAGCACGGTTATCAATTATCTTGACATCAAAAATGCATAAGACTATCTTCTGGATGGAATATGGTAAATTTTTGCAATAAGTATAACAAGTAAAAGAATAGAAATGCGTTTAGGTGACTAAGTATGTATCAAAATTCCTAATACGATATTTCTATATCGCTAAATGTAGTAATAGCTGGCTACAATTGGCAACTTAGACGGCATTATAGCTAAAATATGTGCTGTCAAAAAAAATATTGATTATAAAACAAAGTATATTGCTGTAGTCAGTAAAGCACTTGAGGTAAGTGCGGTCAAGAATGGTTCATAGCAATTAAATCAAATGCAATTTCCAATTTATAATAAGAGCCTTGTACATTTATCGCAAGCATGATAGTTTAAAGGTTGAATTAAAGTCTTGGATAACGTAATTTAAAAGGCAAAACAGCCAGAACTTGAACTAAGTATTCACCAAAAGTATTCTGCATTCAGAAAGAATG